TATATAGCGGTTTTAAATTAATGGAACTGAATTACTGTAAAGGAAGAATTATTTGCAAAGCTTGTATTAATATCATAGATACTAGTATTAACAATTTCATCAAACTATTAGCAGTAAAGTAAAGATTATTACATTTTAAATACAAAAGTTAATAAACATCAGCTTACATTCAAAAATCTATTTAAATTTTCATGAAATCATAGGTCGTTACATCAAGTCAAGCCAAACCTTTTTACACATTGCAGTCAAAGTAGCAGCCACCCTTGAAGAAGATAGGAGCAACAGTAGCAATGTAACAGCTGACTGTTGCATTTTGTTGCTAGTTGATAATTTTGATATTAGCAGAAGATTTATCAGTTTGTTGGATTTTTCAAAATATTTCGTAACAAACTGCTTATTCAGTTGAGCCAGTCTTAAAAGAGCCTGTAATGGGAAATAATTTGTAACTCAATAAATTAAAAACACTCAGAAACCATAATAGAAAAAGAGAAGAAGAAATGATATGATTGTTTGATTTACAAATACATGAAGCAATGCAAACAAAATGTTAACGTTAATAGCAGAGGCTTTCAAGACTTCATAGGAAATTCTTTCATAAACAGACCACAATTTATCTATTAAGGCCATCTTGAGGAATTTCTAAAAACAAGATAATACACTGAAATAAACCAAAAAAAAAAAAATTCTAAATTTATTTAAATTTACGAGCAACTATAAAATCTACAGTCTATAATGAGTTTCATAATGGCTATACAGTGCAAGTATTAGAAACAAAGATAAAATCTAACATTAGAATGTCTGCCACTGTACAATGCAACCTGCTCTATAATACTACAAGCATATTCAACTGATGTATCTGAACTCTTGGGAAATTTAAAAATTATCAATATCATGATTCAATTATCAATATCATAATCAAAATGTAATGTTACAATATATCAATGAAATAAATGAACTGCTTGCACAGATAAATTATAAATTAAAGGAAAAGTGAAAGTGCATGGCATGCATGTAAGGTGCTCCGTTGTTTTTGCAAAGATTTGAAACAACCTATCCGTCGAACTGACATCAACAGCAGCATCAAAATTAGTCATGATGCATTCAAGAAGCAGCTTATAAACCACATGTTCAACAGCACAGAGTCAAAAACACGCCTCAAAAGTTTGTTCATAAAAAGCGCCTTACAAATCTTGGATACGATGCGATAGGAATTTTTTTGAACAGTGTGCTAAATTTAAAGGCTGACTTTGGCGGATGTGTAACCTGCTGTCCGCGATGAATTCAGTTGATTTAGGATAGATAAACGTGATAAGAAAAGTGAGACAACTACTACATTAATAATGTAATAATTTACATTAACATTACATTAACAAATATTATCACCTGTAAAAAACTTTCAACGAACGAATGAACGGTGGGGGGAGATGAGAATGTAAGCCACGAGACTGAGGCGTCGTTCTCCTACCACACATTAATAATGATTAATTACTTTTTAAATATTAAAAATAAAATTGTCTTAATTATCATCAAACAAATTATTACAAGCTATATCACATTTTGAATTGTACCGTACTTGAAAGTTTTTTTTAACGGGTAAGTGACGTGAATTCTATCTAATTTCATTTAAATTTACATTAACAAATATGAAAAAAAACAAATAAATGCACTAGTAGGCTTAACGTTCAAAATTAAAAATTAATTACAATTAGTTAAAAAATTAATATTTAAAATAAGAAGATGAATGAAAATGAGAGCGTACATATTTAGCGGCAAAGAGCAGTAGATGTCCAACGGTGCAGAGGAAAGCCCGTGCCAGATTGGGATTCGTTCCACTACGCCGACCTCCATCGACCAGGTTGGAAAATATCTTAAGGGGGTTTCGTTCATTTGACCGAATTAGTGAATGAAATTAGTGTAAATTAGTAAATTAGCAAATTAAATTATTATAAACGTGATTAGAAAAACCGTAGACCACCAACAAAGAGAAATAATTCACGATGCCAAATCATTGAGTAATTAATGAAAAATAAATTTAATGTTATTAAGAAAAGCAGCAAAGATAAAATCTTAACACTTATAGTTAAGCCCTACATAAATTAAGATTAATAATTCTATCAAATCTACTACAAATCATTCGTCGTACCTCAGTTAGGTTGATATCTTGAGTTACCTTCGTAGGTGTCAGTTTCATAATTATCATCATTATAATCTGACAGGATAGAAGCTGGCTGGAAAATAATTAACAACTCTAGATGTGGAAGAATGTTTTCCACACATACATACACACGCGCACGCACGCACACATACACACGCGCACACAGAAACGCAAGCAAAAATAAATCTAAACAAAAATAATCACTTGGCATCTCTGGTTGATTCCTTAGCAAACCTGGACAGGAGTGAAAGCACTTTGGCACCGACCATCCAGTCACAGATCTCCACAGAACAGCACACAACATGACCAACGTAGTTTAATATTGACAACATCCTCTGCACTGATGTGTTGCTTTTACTTTCGGCGATGTGTTGCGTTAGATTTGTGTGAACGCTTTCCAAGTGGCTGTGAAGTTCTTCAATCTCAAGTGACTCTAATTCTTCCGCTAATATTGAAACAAATTTTTTTTGTGTTAAAGTTTTTTTTAATTTAAATAAAAATCATATTTTTCATTTTTTAATTTATTCCATATATATTTTTAAACAAGAATATGTTACACATTTAAATAAGATGAATTTACCTGTGTATGCGGTAAATGGAAGCAATTTTGGATCAAATTTAAAGTTGATTTGTTTCGTGAATTTCTGTGGTATAAAAAATATAAGTGATATTCAGATTAGTTTAGCTGTTTTTCATATAACCATAAATATAACGCTCATTTATATCATTTATTCTGTCTTTCTAATTTTCAAAGGTATCAACAACACACAGAAACCACACATAGCATATGATAGGTATGGATCTTTTTACAGTCGAACCCAGCGACTACAACAACAGGACCGGACGCCTTAACCACTTAACCATTAGACACAATTATTTAACATACTAAATTTCCCAGAATTACTAATATATTAATTCATATATCGATAAAAATTATTCACAGACCTTACAAATTGGATATGATATAAAATCAGTTTGATGAAATATCAGAGATAGAATATCACTATCATTTTCATTATCATTTTCATCATCATTTAGTTTCATTAGATCCAAATCATAGTCAAAATCATCCATAACTTCATCACCACCACCATCATCGTCGTCGATGTTGTATTCATCATCCACACCGTTATAAGTGGTCATGAAAGAGTCAGTTATGTTGATGTTGCTAAATGTATAATCATCAATTTTATTCTCATCATCATCAACATTATTATCATTAATGATATCACCCTTATTATCATTAATGATATCACCATTATTATCATCAAATATATTATCATTGTTACAATTTACATTATCTTTGACGTTATTATTATTACTATTAGGCTCATATTTATATTCAAATTTTTTTTCATAGCCAATATTTTTATTTTGGTTACCAGTACCGTCATCTTCATCACTATCATTACTATCGATTTCGATATCTTCCATGATATCTGGACTCTCATCCTTAGCCCCAGTTTGATGATTATGATGAGGAGGAGGAATTTCAGAGGTGCATGATATGATAGTTGTATCAACGTCATCATCTTCATCATAATCCTCATCATTACCATTATTATTATTATTATTATTATTATTATTATTATTATTATTATTATTATTATTATTATTATTATTATTATTATTGCAATAAACAATAACAGAATCAGTAACTTTTTCGAATTTGTCATCACCAATAGACACAAAAGTTTCAGAAGTTTTAGAAGCATCATTTTGATTCAATAGAGACTTTTTAGTACAATTTTCAAGCCCTTTTAGCTTTTCATTTATTCGATCTGATGAATGCTTGCAAAACGTTCCACTATGATATGATGTATAGAGATATGGATTAGTTGTTGGAATGGACTGTTTGATGCAAGCATCTGTAATGCTTGGAAGTGAATGCCTGGATGTTCTACTTCTCTGTGGTGTTTCTGGTAGTGTTGTCCTTGTTGATGTTATTGTTGGTGAAGATGTTGTTGTTGTAGATGTTTTTGTTGATGTCAATTTTGTTGTTGTTATGGCTGATGTTGTGGTTGTTGTTAATTTGTTTGTAGTTTTTTGTTGGACATCCAAATTATGAGATGAATACTGTGTTGAGAATAAGTTACAGTTGTTATTGTTTAATTGTCTTTGTTGTGTAAAATATGGGTTTTCATCTTTTATATGTTTCTGTAGCGGTGGTCGTTGTAGATTTTGTGGTGGATGTTGTGGTTGTTGCACGATATTCACGTATTGTAGTTGCTCAATATTTGATGGTTGACGTTTTTGCTTATTGTTTATGAATTGCAATGAATCAACATTTGCTTGTTCTTGCCATTTTGGCTGCGGCTGTTGAACATTATAAAGCTGTTGTTGTCGTTCTTGTTGAATGTACATTTGTCGCTGGATATCATAATCATGTTGTTCTTCTTTGTTACAATGCTGATATTGTTGTTTATTACGATGAATATTCTGTTGTTCATCATTATAAAAATATTGTAGTTGTTGTTGTTGCTGCTGTTGATTAGAATCAGGTTGCCCACCTAACTCTGACTCTTCATCAACCCCAACAAACCCTCCTCTTTGCCATTGTGGTGCAAATTGTTTTTGTCGTTGTTGTTGTTGATGGTGGTGGCGAGAATATTCAATTTGTCTGTTGTTCTCTTCATACTTCCCACAACATCCAAGCATCCTTCTATTTCTTCTATTCCTATGTACAAGCAGTACAGATCTATTCAACTGATCATCATCGGCAGTTTTGGTAAGTAAGGTAGGTAATTCTTCTACGTAATCATCTCCAATAACTTGAGACCTCTGCACCAAATGGTCCAACCTACCCTTCCAAAATGGATGACGGATGACGATGGACCAGTCAAATCTCGCATCTTCATCCTTGCGTAGTAGGCCTCTCATAAGATCAACAGCATCAGATGATGGAGGAAGGTATGGTACAGCGGCTGGAGTTTAAAGTTTCAACAAATTCTCAATTCATTACACATATTTAAAATTCAAATACATACCTGCATTACAAATAAATTTCAAACTAACAGTGAAAATAAAAAGTGGGAAAATTTAAAAGTAGATGAACCAGAAGACATGGAAGAAACTTGTGGATAGGGCATTTCATCTTCAAGAATTTTCTTTCTCAGCTGCTTGTAAGTGTCAGCAGTGAAAGGTGGATGGCCTGTCCATTATTGTACATCATTATTTTATTATTTTATTTTACTATTGATGTTTTTCTATTCTTATAGTATAAAATATTCATAAAAAGTTATTACATTGTTAAATTTTTTTCAATAAAATAATATTATTTGTTTTCTATTCATCTGTTATTTATAGAAAAATTATTCAAACTTATGCCAAGAGATAAAAGACGAAGAAATTTAAAATAACAAAGAATATTATGCAATGTGAACAAAATACAAAAAAAGACAATAATATAATAATACCAGAGAACATATGATACATAATGCAGCCCAAGGCCCACAAATCACTGCCCTTTGAATGCTGATGCCCATTTAATAACTCTGGTGCCAAATATTTCACATTGCCTAATTTTAAAAATCATCTCGTCAGTATAAAATAATGACAGGAAGAAATTAATAAAGCAAAATTAACAAGAAAGCCAAAAATAGAATTTAAATTTCGTACATAAAATAATAAATAAAGTTCAGTTATGTACAAACCATAATTGCTCAAATAATTTGGAAGATCAGGATACACATTGTCTGTGTTCCTAGACAAGTTGCCTATTTCAAAAAAATATATAAAAATTTAAAAATCTTATAAAATAATGTTTATGGCAATTTGTGTACCAGATGTTGAAAATGAGTTGAAGACTTGCTCAAAACTTTCATCCTCCATCTTGCTGAGACTGAAGTCTGCTAACTTCAAGACACCAAGGCTGTTGAGCCAGATCTGCATATGAAGACCAGTTGGGCATCCATTATGATGCTAACCAATTATTACTATTACTAATTATTACTAAATTGATTGACAATGTAATAAATTAATTTTTATATAAATTTTTATTTTAAAAAAGCGACATCTTAAATGTGGGGTAAAACAAAATTTCAAACTGAAAGTATCTTATTCTACAGCGCTATCTATTTTGTTACAATTTTACGAGCTTAAAACTGAAAATTATCTACTGAATTGAACATGGCCAATATGTTTATTCACATTTATTACCAAACATTATCATTGTTATGAAAAAATTGACTAGGTTACAAATTTCAAATCATTAGATAAGGAACAAACTTTGGATGGCTGCAGATCTGCATAGATGACACCTAATGAGTGGATGTAATGCAGGCCTTCTGCAATGTTCACTGCAAAATCTCTCACACACGACTCTGGTAAGCATTTATCTTGCTCTATCACCATGTCAAGACTGTCTCCTGTAGTTTTATTAAATTTTAACAAAACATAAATTTAATAATAATTTAAAGTAATACAATTGGCAATTCATGATTTGAGAAAAAACACTTCAAAGTAACAGTAGTTACAAATAAATAATGAATGATAAAAGATAGCAATTATGACTCACATAATAACCAAAGTAATATAATAGCATATAAACCTGCACATAGTTCCATAATAAGCCAGTAATGCTTGCTGGTCTCATACCATTCTTTGAATTCAACCACATTTTCATGCTTCATACTCATCATCAACCGAGCCTTCAAGTGTTCAATTGTTAATGTTTCATTAGTATAGTGAAAAATAATACTTGATGATTATCTTAATAGCTGTTAACACACAATGTAAGTGCTGAATGATAAAAAATGTAAATTTGTTATGTAGAGATTCAAGATAACTATATATAAGAGTTAATTAAAATTAATAATTGTCATGCATGGTGATACATTCAGTGTAACCCCCAAAACACTTGAGTGACTGGCTTTAAGTAGCAAATTAATGATTCATAATTAAATTACCATGTTGTTGATGTAAACTCCAAGACATTTGTCAACACATTTTATTACCAGGTAGGTTATGGTACCTTTCCTTCGTCCTTTGTACAAAATTGAATGCTCTGTCTTTTTTATTTCATTATACAGAACAAAATTCTCCATTAAGAACAGCTGATCAGAGTAATTTAATATTTGAAAATCAGCCATTAAAATAAAAAACATCAATCAAGTAAGTGCTCTTTTTAAAAAAATTTCAAGTAAGATTTATTTCTGATGTTTTTTTTATTAAATAATCTAACTAACTAAAAATAAGATAATAAATTTTTACCTCTGTTTGTACTTATTATTTCATGTTGCATAAAATTATTTAATTAAATGAAGCTAATTCTTTGATAGAATTTCAAGAAAAATAAATATCACCCAGTTGCCACTGAAGCTAAAGTTGTCAACGAAAGTTAAGTTCGCAAAGATGTTTTAATGCGAGTATCGGTTCCATGCTAGGTATTGTGCATCATTTAAAAAATCGTGTTATTATGTACCAGCGCTGGTTTACAGGCCCCTATCTTGGATCTTACACCATCTCACCAGAGAACCGCAATAATATTAGATGCTTATAAAAAAAATACACCTCATATGGTTGAAAAAAAAGATAAATAACACGAGAAATGAGTGTGAGACAAAAGTTGATATCAAGAAGGAACGTGATTAGAAACGACGACTGTAATACAACAACACACGTTTAGACGGCATTTTCCCAGAGATCGGGGGTTGCCGTTTGGCTACCTATGATGAAACCGAAATACCCCTCGACGCCATCCACATCTGTCACTCGCCTCAGTATCACGCAACCCCGCTTTCACCCTGTCCTTCTCCACCTGCTCTCTCCATCCCAATCGCGGACGACCCCTTCCTACCACTCCTTCAACCTCGAACTCCAACGCTCGCCTAATCCCGACCCTTTCATCCCTTCTCAACACATGTCCATACCACCGCAGTCTCGATCTCCTTATCAATGTCACAATGTCCTCATTCAGTCCCATCATTGACATCAGCTCTGTCTACTCCTCCTATCCTTCACTTTAACCCCACACATCATCCTCACCATAGCTCTTTCAGCCCTCTGCAGTACACTTTCCTCCTCTCACCTCAACACCCAAGTTTCACCACCATATACCATCGCTGCTCTCACACATGCTTTATATACCCTCCCTTTCATCTTCACTGACCATTTCTTTCCACACAATACCCCACCCAGTTCCCTAAATTTCATCCATCCCACACGAACTCTAGCCGTAACTGCGCTCAAACATCCTCCATCCGCATTCAGCTTATCCCCTAAGTAAACAAAGCTTTCCACTCTTTCAATACCACCACTCAACCCCGTCCTTGCGTCCGTCCTATTAATCACACTATGAACACATTTCTTACATTTGAACGTGCCTTCCACCTTTTTCAGTGCCCCCCTCAAACCACTACATCTCTTATGCACCCATTTCTGACATCCTATACACAACACCGAGTTAGCCTTCACTCTCCTGTCACATACCCCACAGGGGTCTATTTTACTTATCACTCGCTCCCCACCTTCCCCACTCACCATTACCTTCGTCTTACCAATATTAACTTTTAACCCTTTCTTTTCAATAACACTTTTCCATCTGTCAAATTTTAACTGCAATTCTTCCATGCTATCAGCCATCAAAACTAAATCATAAACGACGACTGTAATAACTAACTACATACACGAAATACATGTATCTTACTTTAAAATTAACAGATAGGTGTTAGAAATGGCTTGTTTAGCAGCTCAAAAAACAGTTGGATGTCGCTCTTTCCATATAACAGACGAATTAGATTGTTTGGAAAGGATTGCGGCATTTCAAACGCTGACTCAATGATACACTGGAAAATAGAAACAAATAAAGAAAGCTCGATTGATAAGTAGCTCATGTGGATAAAGATGGAATCCTGTATAGATACATATGTGTAGGCAATGAAAATGTAAACGCTGAAAATGCGGGCTTGATAAAATCGGTAGGTCAAGTCTTTCCTGGTAGATAATGTTTAGTAGGCAGGAACGAGGACACCTAACCTTTGCCAAAAAAGTCCTAAGAGCTAACTCTTTATCTATTATTCCTTTATTTTCTTTAAAACTTTAACTGTTTGTTTTAACTGTTTGACTTGAGAAATATGAAATAAAATATAGACAGGTTTTGGAATAGATAGGTTGCAATTGTGAGCAGACATTTTGACCTCTGAGCAAAACTTTGAAAAACTCGCTGGTGATGATTTTTAATAATTTTATAGATAGTCATTGAACAAATTTGTTTGAATGATGCGATGTATTCAGAATTCAAGTTCCATGATTAATAAAAAGATACAACTAAAAACAAATGCGTAACAAACTAATAAGTTAAATATTGAAAGCATGCAAATTTAAACTGACCACTGAATTTGATAAAAAGTTAAATAGAAAGACCTGAACAAAATCAATTCAAATGAGAAATTTAAAATTAGACAGATACACGCCGTTACTACAACCCCAAATTAAACTATTAAACAACTACATCAAATTATAAGTGAACATTTTCATAGATTCCATCAATTTTATTTCTTTTTCAGGCCGACAAAAATTTTCCTAACATCCTCAAAAACCTGTTTAGTGAAAGTGTTACAAAATATCTAGCTACAGAAAATAATAAATTACGAAAGAATAAATCTTAAAATCAAAACAATAAACAAAATAATAATAACAAAAATATTATAAATTTAATAAAATAATTGAATAAAGAAAAAGAATTTTTTTAAATATTAATAAACGCAAAACTTCAACCTCATCAGGACTCCTACTGCCATTAACTTTCCTGACCAAACCTTTGGCTTCATAGAATTCAATGATCGGCTCGGTACTGGATATATGTGTTCTTATTCTAAGAAAATGAAATAAGATCTTAACTATCCCAAGAATTTATTAGACAAAATTTTTTAATCAGTTGTTTAACATAAAAATCATGTCACAAATCAAAATGTGATCAGTAATTTGTCTCCCTATCTCTGACACTGTTAAAACAATCCATACGCTGTCACACTTATAAATATAGTAACATTTCTGTAGTGCTCAACGACGATTTTCCACTTTTTACAAATACAAGGCATATATATGCACTGTGTATATGTTGGAAAAGACATCATAAGCATTTTAGCCATTTATAAGAAGATGGAATCTATTTGAAATCAAACCCGATCACTACAACACCAGACTGCAGGTTCGCCATAACTCAGCAATAAATGTGATCTGAGATGCAGTGTGTTGGTTTTCAGTAGTAGAATATCTCAAAAATTAAACTATATACAAATTATGATTATAATATTTCAAACACAGTTGCCTCTTTTGTAAACTTTCGATGTTATCATCAGTCCTACCACTGCCTGCCTCTCCCCTTGATAAACATCTTTCAACACATTCCTGAAAAATTATTTAATTATTCATACAATTTGAGAATAATTTCATAAATGTAGCCCTAAAATCTAAACAACCCAATATCTATTTATAGAATATCTACTTATATATTTTGTCAAATGTGATTTTCACTTGGAGAAATTAAAGATTGAAAAGCAATAAATGAAAATACTCAAACTATAATACACAGCTTATAATTCAAAACCAATCGTTTTAAAAATAAAGAAGTAAATACCTTTTCAGTGCACTCAAAAATTAGGACAAATTGAAGATCAGTCTTGTGTGACATTTCCTTCTGCCATCCATCCATGTTGTTTTTGTTGCGAGGGAATCCATCAATTAGAAATGTATCTTTGGCTTTATCAGCTTCCATTTCTTTCTTCATGGACTGAATTTCATTAAAAAAAAACAAACCAGGCATTTTAAGTATCAGCTAACTTTCAAATACTTGAAATAAAACTTTTAAAAAATTATATATTGTATAAAAGAAGTTTTTTTCATAACTAATAAATAATAATGAATTTAAATAAATAAATTTTAAATATATAAGTCATGTCATGAATAAATAAAATTATTTTAGACCTGTTCGAGAAGACTGCATGTAACTTCCACAGGGACAATAGTTCCTTCTTTGATGTGCTTTTCTATCATTTCACCAAATTGAGAACCAGGCTTGCTCCTTTCAATTCTCAATAATTCTCCAGCCGACAAGTGTACACAACCAAATTCCTGACCAATTTTAAACCAAATTAAATAAAATTCACTTATATAAAGTTATGAATATAAGTTCTTTTGTAAAAAAAAACATCTTTAACACAATAAAAACTATGAGAAAGATGTGGAGGAAAAAAAAATAAAAAAAATCTGACCTGAACAATCTTCTGGCATTGAGTTCCCTTGCCTGAGCCTGGCAGACCAAGGACAAAAATGACTTTTGGTAGATTAGTCATTCTGGTTTGGATCTGATTTGTTATTGTTTAAGTTGAAATAAATGTAATTTAATAATAAAACAACACAAAATGAAAAATTTTTGTAATTAAATTGATTCATGTAATAAACAGGTACCATTCTAAAGAAGGACTGAATCATGATTTTGATTGGTGCTGCAATTAATCTATAAACAAAACAAACTAGAAAACAAAAACAAAATCTTTTTAAAACTTGAGTATAAAACAGTTTTTTTTTAATAAAAACAAATATTTAATAAATAGTAGTAATTAATGATTAGTCTATTAAAACTCTATTATACAATTTACGTAGCCAACTCTTACTCTTCTTATTCTTATCTTATGTGATTTTGTTTTTGCTTTTCCATTCTATTTTAACTTTTACTAACTTGTTCTAAGAATCATTATCAAATCAATCAAATTATATTTGATCTCAAATTTTAACTAAAAATTTCAAATTAAATAAATATATAATATAAATAAATATAAATAACTAGAAAAAAGTAAGTAATAAAAATAAAATAACTAATAATAATAATAATAGTAATTAATTTTTTATAAAATTCAAAATTTCTTTTTCCACTATACCACCTGAATCTCCTAGCAAAACTATGAAAATTAGTAAAACACTAAAAAGTCTAAAACCTAACTTTAATTTAATAAAATTGAAATGCGGATCTAATGACTAATTTAGAAAAAAAATATATATGAAACGACAACACGCACGCACACAATACAATTTAAATGTATTTACAATTTAATACAATTTAAACGAGCAATTTAAATTTATTTATTTATTCAATATTTGTTATATTTGTCCGATGGCGTTACAGATATTGACAGCTAAAACGAGATTCAAATTTAATCACCAAACGGTCGGTAAAATGTGTTTCAGATTTTTAATCATATTTGATGGATAAATCATTAAAATGAAGAATTGTTACCAACGAAAATTGTCAAAGGTTCAATAGAGATACTTCACTATTTCATAATATTGGAAACAAATCTGCCAATTCTGTCATTACGGTTGGAACTGACGATGTTTTTGTAGTCTGAAATACATATGCTAACATGCATATAAATTAAATATGAAGCATCGTAGCAGCAAAAGCGAGTTTTACGCTTCTCTTATAATAAGTTTAATAATATAGAATAAATATATATAATAAATACAGTGTAATATTAGTAAGAATAGTAGGAGACTGTATCTATGAATGTATTAAAATAGAATTTGACATACATTTTAGTTTATTATCAATTTTAAATTATGACAAATCTTGGTAACTTTAAAATAGCAAATAAAAATGAACTGCATTTCCTTGTCAAATAGTATAAAAAGTTACCAACTGCTCTCCATCAGTGTACTCAGTCAAAAGGAAAAAATTGTGGTTATTTTAAGCTCAAGTGTTTAATGCTTTATTTTGCAACACATTCCATAAAAATCGAATTAAAGTGCCTGTCTAGTACTATTATTCCGACATTTTTTATATAACGGTTAAAATAGGCTGGACTGGAGTATGTGTGTGTGTGGAAACTGGAAATAAGCAATAATTTGATGTCAAATAGAGCTTGTTATGATTTATTTTATACTTGTTCAACGTTGTTTTGAAAGCCTTATGCAAAAAACGTTTCTTCAAACTATGAAGTTGACCATATATTATTGTGTATTTATTCAACATATATGTTTATCGGTTCATGGTGTTTTATTCTTCATATGATAGTAGATAGATCAATTTTCAAGTAATTATTAGATTTCACTTTTACACATTTAACAAGTAAATGCATCTAGATAATATGAGCAAACCAAACGAATGTAGATGTGTCTGATCTGAGTTGAGTTTTTAGTTTTTTGTTAATTAGAAATTAGTTGGAAGTTTCTCGATGGGGTTTCGCATGCAAGTTTCGTCTGCTGATCACCAGATAGCCTCTAATTTGCCTGAGTCACCTTTTACTCCAGGTCAGTCAATCAAAAATTCAAAATTGTTTTTCTTATTTTTTAATATTTATTTTACTTTTACTGTGTTTTAAAAATTGAATTATGCTAAAAAAATGATTACATGATGCCGTTATAATAAACATCATGAATTTTTAAAATTTACACATTCATGTATAACAGTAATATAACAAGTCTCATAAACTTAAATTATTTCTTAAGTACTTATCAGCTGGTATAGGACGGTATATTAATAAAAAATATTAATAATTAATTGAACTTAAGCTCCCCAGTTTATGATCATTTTCCTGTTCTCACTTCTTCTTAACTCGTGTTAAACATTTTTTTGCTAAATCTGCATTCACTTTTTTGGCCCTTTTCTCTGGAATTCTCTATCTCCTTCTCTGACCTCTTCCTTTTCCATCACTTACGAAGTTCAAAGCAGATCTCAAGACCCATCTGTTTGCAAAATTCATTGAGGAGCACTGTTGAACATTGCTGAAATAGCGCTTTATAATATACTAAAATAATTGATTGATTGATCATTAACATCTATGTTCAGTATTTATATTAAAATGATTGCACATTTATTTATTTTTATATTATATGAGTTTATAATTTTTATCCTTTGCTACAAAATATTATTATTATTATAAAATATCAAAAATTATTATCAAAATTTTTATACTTTTTCGTTTAAAAATTAAACTGATGACTGGATCTGACATGTGATTTTTTTTAATTTCATTTTTATTCAATCTAACAATTTTGTTTTTTTTTTATATTTGAAAATTTTATAATTGGAATAATATTGAAAATAATTAACATGTTTAAAAAATTAAATAATTTTTTATTGTTTTTTTGTATTTGAGAGGCCAATATGAAATTTATCATTTTTCACGTGGCATCATTCATCATATCACAGTATGCGTATAAAAATCATTTCATGACATATGTCATATATCATAGCAATTCATTCATATTTAAACTTTTGTCAATAATTTTTTTAAGAATCATCAGAAAAACTAATTCTTACATCTAAGAAAAGAATTTCTGAGGTGATACTTTTTTTTCAAATTTTTAAACAATTTTTTAATTTTAATTAATATTTTCAGTATAAATAAGATGTATATATATATATATATATGTATGTCATTATTTTTTAGCATGAAATTTTAAATATTATAAATGGGATTTTGCATTTTGAAAAAAAAACTCTCAAACTCAAGACTTTTGAAAATGGATTTGGAAAAGAAGACAGAAAAATAGGACATAGACGTGTGCATGAAAATGGAAGTGTCACCTACAAGAAGGTTTTTAAATGTTTTATTTTAAAAAGCTTACATTTACGATACTTTGTACAATGCTGCTCTTACAAGAATTTTTTTTCTAACAAGTTTTTCAAAAAATTTTGCCGGTCAGACTATTTTTCCTGCAAAAGATTTTTGAATTTATACATTCATAAGTAGAAATTGATGTTAAACTTGATAATTTAAGGTTTTGATTCAAACAAATGTATAGGAAAAAAATATTTTAAATGTAAATAATGTTCACCTTTAAATTTCTTTTTCTCCAGAGGCCGACAACAGAGCTGATGACGGCAGTTCAGCTTGGCATAGCACAAAGCATTGGTAGTCTTTCAGCTAAACCTAGTCGAGATATTTTATATGAAGATTTCCATGTTGTTGTGACTGTGAATTTTCCAAGGTTCTTCATTTTTATTTTGCAACTTTTTTGCTAATTTTAATGCTAAAACAAATTTTTTTATCATTTTCATCACTGTTGATTTAGGGATGGAACAAACTTGACCCCAGCACATCACTGCAGTGATTTTCGATTCAGAACCTACGCACCAGATGTTTTTAGATACTTCAGACAGATATTTAAAATCAAACCAGCCGATTTTTTAGTATGTAATTTTCGAAATTTAAAAAAAATAATAATAGTTAATTTTGAAAAAATAATAAAAAAGATTCTGTTTTCTCGGATGATTTATTTATTTGATCTCCACAGAAAAATTGTCATATCTCTAAAATTGTTCACAGATGTCACTATGTAGTGATCCTCTTCGAGAACTTCCAAACCCTGGAGCATCAGGTACATTCAACAGGATAACTATTGCCGTTGCATTCTCACATATTCAGTCACTTTTTTTATTTTCACAAACCATGACTCAAGCAGATTAATGCTATGAAATATTTCAACTTCACTCTCAAGTATTGTGCTATCACACTCATAAAAATTTCTCAACTCCACTTATTATTGACAAGTTTATTAATCTGTCATCTCTTCACAAATTATTTAGCTCCCATCCAAAATTACTTAGCTCTTCTTACAAATAACTTCTGTTACAAATTATTTAGCTCCTCCCACATATTTGTCTCATCCTTCTACACCTTATTTGGTTGCTGTCACAGCGTATGTGATTATATAACTCATATAATTGTCAATAGGTAGCATATTCTACGTAACAGAAAGTGACGAATTCATCATAAAAACAGTTCAACACAAGGAGGCAGAATTTCTTCAGAAGTTACTGCCAGGCTATTATATGGTGCTGTTCCATTTTTGTGTATTTTGTGTTTGTGATACACTTGAGGGCTCATTTTCAAATTGATTTCTGTTTTTACTACTTTTTTATTGTACAGGAAATTATAAAATTATTTGTCATGGATACATATGATGATTGTCATACTCTGCAATGATTTGCCAACAATTGTTTATCAAGGACTAATAAATATTTTTATAAATCTTATCTCTCTTTTTTTAACTACTCTTTGCTAAAAAGAATTTATAAAAAAAATTTTTTTTAGAATTTAAATCAGAACCCATGCACCTTGTTGCCAAAGTTTTATGGTCTATTTTGTTATCAGGTGTGTGCTTTCAACATATTCTCGTTGTTACATGATTTTGTTTTATTTTCAACGAGCTTAAACATTTACGGATGAATTGTACAGATTTTTGGATATTTATAGAGTATAACTTTAAAATTTACTTGCTTTAATTTAAAATATGATCTACTAATCAATTTCAAAAGTGTGGTGGGAAGAACATAAGATTCGTTGTGATGAACAACATCATCTCCTCCGATGTTTTCCTCAGTGAAAAGTTTGACCTGAAAGGAAGCACCTACAAGCGGAAAGCATCCAAACACGAAAAGTCGAAACCGGTGCCTACTTTAAAAGATCTCGATTTCGTTGATATTTATCCAGAGGGGTTGATGCTCGAGGTTGAGACGTACGATGCACTCGTTAAAACATTGGACAGGGACTGCAGGGTCAGGATGAAGATGATACAAATGATGATACAAATGATGATACAAATGATACTATTAATTATGAAAATGTTACAAATAATTATGTAAATGATAAACATTATGATGATAAAAATGATACAAACATTTATGAAAATGATACAAATGGTGTTAAAAATGATACTAATAATGAGGAAAATGATACAAATTATAATAAAAATGATATAGATAATGATAGAATTGATACCAATAATGAGGAATAGGATACAGATTGTAATAAAAATGATATAGATGATGATATAAGTCATGCCATTGCTGATAGAAATAAATAGCCAATGTAACTCCACTCATTATCTCCAGGTTTTAGAGAGTTTCAAAATTATGGACTACAGCTTCCTAATTGGAATATACAACATTGATAATAATGAAAAAGTTTGTACCTACTCTAGCAATTTATTTACACGATGAAATATTTAGTATCAAAACATACAACCGCCTGAAACTTTTAAAATTGCTGCACCATTTCTGTGTAGCGAGATTAATTTTAAAAGAGACAATCTAGAAATAAATAGATGTAAAAAAAGGAATTTTATAACTTGTATGTTGTAATAGTATTCATTTTAATTGTTGAATAATAATAACTGAATTGTAGCAGCGACAAAGCAATCAGAAGAAGGCCTCCTTAGTTGAAGTAGCCAATGAATACCGTACAGTGCCTGATACTGACAACAAGAAACTGTCATTCGGTATGTTGTTTGTTTTTCACATTTTATATTGGCAAAAATGATGGCTCCTTTTGAAATATAGATACTTCGTCTTTTTACTAAGTCGTAGTTTATAAGCATTCTATCTTAGCTATTTTGTATAAATAAGCTTTGTTAATCTGTCGATTTAAGAGCAAACAAATGAATTTGTTTCTTATTATTATTATTGTTTCATTCATTTCACAAGGCTGATTTTTCTTTACAATTATCTTTTTAGTATTTTTTGGACATATCAACAAACAAACTCACGACACGTGAACCATCCCATCAACACATCACACATCACGTCATGTGATAGGTTGGGATCTTTTTGCATTTGAATCTGGTCTCTGCAACATCAATGCCATGCCTCTTCATCATTACACCGTTGCGCATACATTAGAATATACATAGAATATACAAATCTCAAAAAGACATTCTTTCTGAAAATTTTCATATCAAAATTTAACGTTAAACTCAGACGAATCAAAAGTGCCAAAACCAAGGATAGGCCAGTACTCAACTCCAATGGAGTCTATACAGGCGGGCAGTCAAAACATCACGTCAGTATTCAAGAGTTCTTTCATTTAGCTTTCAAACATTTTGTTTTTTAATGAACGAAACGAAAAACGAACATATTATTTTATACATTAAATTCACTTTCCCATGTATTTGTATCGATTTATAGTTTATAGTTTGTTTAAATACACACACCACACACACACACACACACACACTCTCTTGATCATTATTTAGTTACGTTGTTGAAAAGTTTTTGAGAGTTTTTATTTTTAATAAATTGAATATGTAAATATACTTTTTTTTGTTAATAAGTTAAATAGAGTATAATATGAGATGATATATATTTGGTTGGATAATTGGTTCTCTAGCTCTCAAGAAAATTTATTGGATGGGTTGGTTACTAATGCTACTATGATGATGATGATGATGATGATGATGATGATGATGATGATGATGATGATGATGATGGTGATAGTGATGGTGATGGTGATGATGATGATGATGACGATGAGAAAAAGGATCATGATGATGATGAATAAATAAATCTTTCTAAAAGTTGTAACAAGTTGAAGCATTGCATTAAAAAGTTAATGGCTTATTAAAAAATGAAAGAAAAAAAACAGACTAACTTTGGCTGACGTGGTGTGGAGTTTAAATAAACGATGTTTTTATAGCTAATATGGGTTTAACATTGGCAATTAATTGGCTATAATTCGTAATTATTATTTTTCAGGGTGTGTCTGGTGTGTTTGTGTGTGTGTGTGTGTGTGTGTGTGTGTGTGTGTGTGTGTGTGTGTGTGTGTGTGTGTGTGTTTGGTGTGTGTTTGAGTGTGTGTGTGTGGTTTGTGTGTGTGTTTGAGTGTGTGTGTGGTTTGTGTGTGTGTTTGTTTAATTGTACTTGAATGACTTTTACTCTAATAATAATGATAATAACGATGATTGTTTAACTATTATACATTCTCATGTTTAGGCAAGCGCGCGCACATACGCATGCACACCAATCACGCACACATACGCACACACACACAAAGTCGCACACAAACACACATACAAAACTTTTAAAAAATTTTTTTATTTATTAATTTTCTGTCATCATTATGATGAAATTGTCAACATATAAATTAAAGTTATTAGATGATTTTTTGATAATAATCTTTTCTCAAACATTCAAAAAATTATGCTTTATAAAATTTGTCATGGAAGATTTTTATGATTTGTTACATTTATAGACTCAATCAATGAAATGAAAAAACTATACATTCAAATGATTAAATGAGTTTTATTTAATTGAATAGATCAGTTCTTCTCTTATATATACATGTTTTTACATGTATGTTTGTTTGTTTACATATTTGTTTCCTTTAAAGTTTCTTTACATATTTGTTAACATTTGTTTTCATGTTTGTTAACTTATCTGTTTATATATTTCATAACATGTTAGGAGCGTTGATTTAAAAACATGATTTTTTTAAATCCATGTCTTGAAGTTATTTGGTGCGATTTGTGTGATTCAATGAGTCTTTATATTTGTATGGGTTTTTTTTTTTGAAAAAATTTTTCGTTCTGTTCTGATTTTTGTCTTCTAATCAAATGTTGTAATAAATGTTTTAATCATCATCATCACAATTGGGCAGTAAATCATCAGAAAAGAAATCATTTATTTTATTTTATTTATTTGTTTAACATTGGTTAATTGTTATTCTGTTATTCTATAACGTCCTACCTCGGGAAACTGGGTCTCTGGACGCTAAACGAAGATTGATTGATTTGATTGATAATTGTTACTCTGCCCAATGCATTTTTGCGTTTCATAATTTTTTCATCAGGAAAATCATCTTCATTGTGAACATCATCTTTCTACATCTTACCATCCTCTCCACCATCTTCATCATTATCATCATCAACAACAACAACAACCTTGCCATCCTTCTCACCCATCATCATCATCAATTTTATCATCATCATCACTACCGTTATCATCATCATCACAATCACCACCGTTATCATCATCTTCACAATCACCACCGTCATCTTCATCATCATCTCCACAGACCAGGTCAGATCCCTGCGAAGAATGGCAGAGGTGAAAGGTTATTGCTGTACGTAGGCATCATTGATATACTTCAGAGTTACAGGTTGGCCAAAAAGTTGGAGCACGCATTCAAGTCCCTCGTTCAAGATGGCGTTAGTTTATTCCGTGGGATTTTTGTGTGTTGTTTTGTATCTGGTTTGGTCTGTTGTATTTGTGTTGTTTTTTGTTGTTTTGTATGTATTTGTGTCATTTTATATAAAATGTGTTATTTGTATATCTTCAAATTTCCCTGTTCATATTTTTATAATCTGTTGGCTAATTTATTTTTTAATGGTTTATAAAAATTTTTACTAAATTATCTGAAATAAAAATTTTTAATCTGTGTAAAATATTTATTGAAAAAAATGTAACGTTGCGATATCATATTTATTCATTCATTCATCCATCCATTCATTCATTCATTCATTCATTCATTCATTCATTCCTGAAGGATACTGTATCAGTGCACCACCCACAGTTCTACGCTCACAGATTCAAAAAATTTTTCAATGAAGTTGTGTTTAAAAGTATGTTCTTCTTTCTTTCTCTCTATTTTGCCTAATTTTGTTTCTTCAGAATCGTTCACATATCGTGACTACAACTGAACAGCTAGCCCCAAATCCACACACCTACATTACACAAACACTTTTGTATGTAAATGCAATTACAATATATTTTGGTCACTTCTGGATGGACTGCATTTAAAAGAAGTCAGCAGGCAAAAAATATCTACACAGCCGTCTGAGCTAACCAGCCAAACCATTTCAACAATTAACATTAATAACGTTACGTGTAATTTTGGTTATTTTTTTTTATCACCGCTCAGCTGTTAGGCCACCAGTGAAAAGAAAATCTATTGCAGGTCGGAAATCCATCGTTCCTGCTGACGTGGAAAGCCTTCCTGGTCAGTTCACGTCTTTTAATTCTCCACATATTTGAATGTTTCATTGAATTACATTACATTACATTACATTACGTTGAATGTTTCGTCGTAGCTAGCACCTTTGATTCGCATAATTATTTGTGTGTTTCTGTTTTTTAATTAATACAATTTCTTTCGACGATCGTGTTTTTTATTGCATATATATATATAACGCAATTGACATCGCCACAAGATGTCCTGGCGAAACGACCCGACCTGTTAGTGAAGAGTAACAACATGAAGACGGCAGCCTCTTACAGCAGCGTTCACACGGCACAACTCTACGATAGGTTGGCGCCTCTATTCACTCCGTTCATTTTATTATTTATTTATTTATTTGTTTGTTTATTTATTTGTTTGTTTATTTATTTATTTAACCAAATCGAACAGCTCATCTATTCATGTTTTTGGAGTTTGAATTCTTTTTCCAACAAAACTCCAATAGTATCTCCCTTGTTGAATACTTTAGTGCACATATCACACTGGAACGTACTTAATACAGTTACAAAGTCATAGCTACCATATATTTTTAATCTCCATTCTCACACACAAACACATACATACCCACACACGCGCGCATACACACACATAAACACAAACACCCACCAATCAGTCAATCAACATTATGGAAAGATAGCTTGCATACCTACCCCACGCCACACCTCAGCGTAAATTCTCTACTGAGTGGTGGAACGTTGACGCCGACCAACACCCAACGAACGGATGCTACTGTCAGTTTCACTGAATCAAGTCCCAGTGTTTCGGCCGATAATTTGTTGGGTCTGTTGTTTTTTTTTTGTTGGGTCTGTTGTATTTTTTTGTCGGGTCTGTTGGTATTTTTGTTGGGTCTGTTGTTTTTTTTGTTGGGACTGTTGTTTTTTTTGTCGGGTCTTTTGGTATTTTTGTTGGGTCTGTTGTTTTTTTTTGTCGGGTCTGTTGGTATTTTTGTTGGGTCTGTTGTATTTTTTTGTCGGGTCTGTTGGTATTTTTGTTGGGTCTGTTGTTTTTTTTTGTCGGGTCTGTTGGTATTTTTGTTGGGTCGGTTGTTTTTTTTGTCGGGTCTCTTGTTTTTTTTACAATATTCTCTGGTTTTTCTCAGAAGTATCAATAGAAAACATGTAGCGCATGTAAAGAGACCCGCGTGAATCGGCTAATTGCTTGGGGTGGGCTGGAAGATTCTTTCTACATTCGAAGCCAGTTACTGCCAGGCAGCGTTCGTCGCACGTTGTTACTACTGACCATTAATATACATCCAACTCTCCAACTGAATTGAATATATGAGTCATATTGATGAAAACTCAGCATCAAAAAACTTAACTTGCAGATGACGGATCATCTTCCAACACGACACTCAATAGGAGATTCCGGAACATGAAACTCCAGCATTATGAAGCTGCCGGCCAGTATGATTACAGCAATTACAACGACGACCACAATCAAAATGACGTCACGTGGACCGACTGCTGTTCACCTATTCAGGTGGAGATCGAAAGCGCAGAGGGACGAGTCAGGAATGTTAATGACGTCATGAATATTAACGACGCCATTAATATTAATGAAGCCGTTATTAATAACAACGGATCATTGAGCAATAGTAATATTAATGTTTATAATAATAATAATAATAACAACAACAGTAATAACAACAACAACATCGGTGGGAGAATTAAGAACGAAGTGTTCAGTAATAGCAGCAATTCCAATGATCCCTCAAACATTCCATGCGTTGAACTGGAAGACTGCGTGGTTCGTTTCCGCGTGGCTCTTTTCCATCATGTTCATTTCATTTTAATTATTTCTTTTCAATATAATGAGTTAATTGAAATCAAATTTAATAAACTTTCATTAAAATAGTGCTCATTTGTTTATTTATTTTTCAGACCAGACTGTGATTGGGCTTCATCGAGACCACGTTCACACGCTCTTTCCATTCTTTATTCATTTCTTTATTTATTCATTTATTCGTTCATTCATCCATTCATTCATCCATTCATTCATTCATTCATTCATTTATTACAATTTTACTTTCATCTTTCAATGTTGTTACTTCCAAGTCAACTGATTTTTTGAAAATCTTCTCATATATATAAACTTTTTCCATATTTCAATATTCCATATTATATTATGAAAGCATATTGTTTTTAATATTCATTTGATTAGTGTAAACATGTAAACTACGTACATCCATACACACACGCACACACACACACAACACACATATCCACAGACGCACAAACACAACTCACATAGACAGAAAGCATATATACACATAAACAATATGCACATTCAACTCAACGACCATAATGTTAACAATAATAACGACAATATTACTATTGTCATTATTCCAATAATTTAACAATTAATGATAATTAACTTCACGACAACATATTTGTTATCAGAGAAGTTTGTTATAAATGTTCAGTTATTCTTTAATTTATTTTAAGAAACAATTTTTTATGGTTTCAATAACTTTTTAAGATTATATGTCTGAAATAGCAGTGTATTTAACGCATGAACCTTGCAATGATGAATAACATTTTTTAAAAAGTTTTTTAACAAGTTTTTAAATTGCACGCTGATTACTGAATAAGTCCTCTAGTCCAGAAAAAAAATCATATTTCTAATGCTGCATAACCTACTACACGGATAACTTTACTATCAACATTATATGTTACTTTAAATATTTTTATTGTTGATTTTAGTTGTACAACAGTGCTTATTTTAATAAGACATGTTTCTTTTTTCGTGTGTGTGTGTGCGTTAGTGTGTGTATGTGGGTGTGTGTGTGTGGTGTGTGTGTGTGCGTGTTGTGTGGTGTATACAGTGTGTGTACGTGTCAAATGTTAACAGTGTACCATTTTATGCGTGTAGTATTTTATGTGATCCATCGCGTTTATTTATTATTTTTTCTTACCTTGCTTCACGTCAGAAATGTCCATCTAAACCTAAAAAATCATTTTTTTTTTATATTTTAACGAATATCAAAATTACATTAAAAAAATCTATTTAAATATTTCGTCGTCAGTATATTTTTAAAATAAAATAATTTCTGTTTTTTTCCTCTATTATTAAATATTCACATATTTTGGTTGCTTTATAAAAATGTTTTCTTTGATATATATATATATATATATATATATATTTATATATATATATATATATTTATATATAAATGTGTGTGTATTGTGTATATATTCAATGCATTCATTTACTACGTATGTTTATTCATTTCGTTTGTTTATCCATTTCGTATGCTTATTCATTTTGTATGTTTATTCATTTTGTATGTTTATTCATTTGCATGCAACATTTAATTTAGAGCATATCCATGTTTCCATAGCTATTCATTGGTATTGTGAAATAGTTACTCATAAAAGTTACTCATAAATTTATTTACGCACACACACACATACACACATATACACACACATTATAGTTTCATAGTGTGGTCAATAATATTACGTCTTTCATTTTTATTTAATTAGTTGACTAATTAATTAATTAATCAATCAATTAATAGAAAACGAGAGATTTATTAATTTAATTATAACCACGCATATTCATGTTAGCTGTGTTGTATTTATTTATTTATTCTTAATTGTATATATCCTTTTATTAAGTTGTTAATTCATTCATTTATACACAACCTTCATCATAATCGTTAAATAATTTTCAAACATTATATCTTCTTTCTAGACAAAAAAATTAATTTAATGAGTAAATTAAGTCATTTAAGTCATTAATTTCTTGTGTAAATTCACATAGAGAAAAATTGTGTAAAGTCAGATCTATATGTATTTGAGTTGTTCGGTTGAAGTTGCACAGTATATGTATTTGAGTTGTTTGATTGAAGTTATACAATATATGTGTTTGAGTTGATCGATTGAAGTTAAAAATGTAAACAATTTTTGTAATGTAATACTAGCTCATCTTACTTAATAATCTCTACATTTTTTTGCATCATCTTTACAAAATCTTTACAAGGTCGGTAGAGATGCATGCAGAAAACATTATCACAGAGAAAAATTGTTATTAACGTTTGGTCTATATCGTCATCATCATATCAACATCATCTCTATTCTCATGATTGATATTTTTATAGAGATTATTTTTAAAATTATTGAATGGAGAAATTGGGTACATATTTGACCAATAATTAAATCATATTTTTCTCAGCAATAAATAAACGTACGTTTTTATAAGATGTGTTACTATTTATAATTGTAAGATGTGTTACTATTTAACTATTATAACAATGAATAGTAAAATTTATTATTTTTATTCTTATTGTTAAAAAATGTGTATTTCATGTTACTTTGTGTTTTAATTAGCTAGAAATAGTTTTCGGAGTTTATAGTGAATGTACAAACACATGATGAATGTCCTAGATTCAGAGTCGTTGTTTTGTGTTTACGTGTATTATAAGTGTGTGTTGCTGTTGTTGTTGTTTCCAATGTATTTATACACATTTTTATGTATTTTATTTAAATATTCAATTTATTTGTATGTTTGTTTGTTTCAATTATAATCACATGAGATATGTCGGTTGCGTGGTTATGAAAAAAACCTGGTGAACTATTGATAAAATTTCATCTAAAATTATTTTAAATCTATTTTTGTTAAATCTATTTTGACAAATATTATTTGATTAATTATTTAATTAATGTAATCACACTCAACTTAATTTTAATCATTTGTTAGAATCTATAGTTTTGGACCATCACCACCATTAATAATAATAATAATAATATGATATGATCATTCCATATTAACTGATTAATTTGTACATTCTTGTTGATTCTCATCTGATTCATTTTCTTCTATATAACTCTACGCCTATCATCTTCTCCATTTTGTTTTTAATTATTTTACGTGTTTATATATATACACATATATATATATATATATATATATATGTATATATATATATATATGGGTAAAAATAGTTGATTGATTGATTGTCATCAGTTATGTCGGCCATATATATATATATATATATATATATATATATATATATATATATATATATATATATATATATATATAATATGATTCATATATTCTACATGTGCATTGACTAACAATGTTTAATCATGATCATCTTCTCGATTAAATTAAATTAACCTCTGTCTTATATCTTTGGGGTGTAAATGAATAACAGAAACATTAAACGATTTTACGCGCAGATATCGTATTATTAATTTCTGTTGACTGTATCTGTAATTTGTCATTTTTTTTTGACAAAAGATAATAGAAGATGGACTAGCCATTACCGCCCTCGGCTGGCAGACAACAGATGATGATGATGATAACGTAATTTATATGTCTATATTTATTTAATCTAAAATAGAGACTGTGATCAGTCATGGTCATGTTTTGGGTGGTCATCATTTTCGATCGAGGAATGTAATGGAATTAATGGACAGACCACGTGCTTATGTCACTAATAACAGACCTTATATCTATAATAACTAACAACTTTGTGTGATATATATTTAACAGATATGCCGACAAACAAACAGTCAAACGAGCAAATAATTCATGCCCTAATGTCATTACATTGTGTAGCGTTTCATAGAGTTATTTTAATTTAAACAATTTAAAATTTTAATTTGTAAATTTTGTTTTTTTATTTAACGCAAGAAGGTTATAAAAAAGAAACATTTAATAAATTTATTTTTATCAAAGAAACAAAAAATTAACATAAAGTTGGTTTTTAAACTTATCTTTTTCTAATTAGCTATAAAAATAAATTGTTGACCTACCCACCCGTCCACGTGATACGTGACGAAGTAACAACGTTAACACGAGTAACGTTCACAACTTTGAATTGTTACTTCAGCACATTGTACTGGTAATCACCGACATAATTAATATACCATAATGATTGAAAGAATAGATAACTAATAACTTAAATTTTGTTAAAACTAAAACGTATATAACAATTTCATAATTGTATTAGTTGTATTTTCTAGTTGTACTAGTAGTTGTATTTTCTAGTTGTACTAGTAGTTGTATTTTCTAGTTGTACTAGTAGTTGTATTTTCTAGTTGTACTAGTAGTTGTATTTTCGACGATATATTCCTTGGACGGATCAGGAAATCCCATAATGGTCACGAGTTTCACAATTTCCAACTTGGCCCCACCTTCGAATGGTAATAAGGGGAATCTGTTCAACACCTCTGACGCTAATTTTGTTCCTTTTTGAGGATCGCAATTGAGAGCTTCTAATGCTTTTGGAATAAGGTCCAGTGGTAAATTGCTGTGTCTGTTCAATTATGGATGCAATATATTTGATAAATAAACTGAATATCTAAATATATATTCAAGATACAAGCAAATAACTAAATTAACTAAAGATTATTTCAAAAGATTTTTAATGATGTCTTTATATTATATCTGAGAGCAAGAAAGTTTTTAACTAAAGTAAAAATATTTTTAATATAACCAAAAAAAAATTAAAACATACCTTCACATCAAATCAATGTACGAACAAAATAATAAGCACAAGACAAACGATCAAGCAAACATACAAGCAAACAAAACCATATACACACGCATACATGCTTGTAGGTTACTGTTGAATTTGCTAAACGTTTCTCATGAGTTGACTATTGAAGCAGCGTTTTTGTAATTATCATAACTTTTTATTTCTTTTTTTTTCCTTCAGGAAGATTGCTTCCACGGGTTTAGATGAAACATATAAATAGGTGATGGATGTGTTAAATAACTGTGGGGATAAGCAAGGTCTAAGTTAGGTGCGTTTTTGGGTAAGTACTATATAAAAATTAATAAGTAAGCAAAAATAACTATCATATAGGAAGAACGCACTTCTACTGAGTTGTTAAATCAAACGTGGCCTTTGATTGTTTAATATCAACGTGTAGTACTTTGATCACATTTTGTGTATAGGAATTATTCAGATACTTTTCCATATTTACAAGTCATATGTTTAAATTTACATTTACTCACATAGTTATGATTCATCGATTTATATATTTGTGAGTGTGTTCGCATGGGAAATCCAAATGTTTGTATCCAAAAAGCGTGCTAGGTATTGATTAATGACGAAATGAATATAAAGTTCATTTGTTGAGACTTGCTGAATGACAAAGCAAAATATAGCCAATATACAATATTTAATAATAACTTTATGACAATAATCAGCCTGAGTACTTCTAGAAGTACAGGCCATTGATCTGTTGGTCAAAAAATTTAATAAAATCGTATTTCAAAGTGCATATAAATTTAATAAAGAAAATTTTAAAATATATATTGTACTAATAATTTAAATTAGCAAATGAAATAATTGCAGGTTTAATTTTAAATGGATTACGCAATTTCTGTACTTATTTCAGTAGTTAAGTGAAGAAAGAACCTGAAATTATAAAGCTGTACCATCCCTTATTTTTATTTAAATTATTCTTTATCTAACTAACATCGCGACATAACTAAACAAATTTTTTTTATTTAAACTGAGGTTTCTCCGAGGCGTTCTTTCTTTTATTGTTTGGAACATTACCCGCCATATTTTTTAGTGCTTATCGACGAATATATTGCTCACAAATGTACAGTTTAAAATTTTGTTAGCTCTAATAAGGATTGTTCAGTCTGCAACAATAAGAAAACAACTGCTGGGTACAAATACAACAACACAATTCATTTAGTTTTATTTAATTAATTTTACCTGCTAGGTTATTTTTATTTATTTTATTTTTATTGTTATTTCTTAGTTAATTTTATTCACTATTGTTTCGAGATCCATTATGATTAAAATAACAAATTTGAAGATTATGAAGATTATTTTAATATTTAATTTTAATATTAATTTTTAATAACTGTATTTTTATTTTATTTACTTTTTTTATCACAATATTAAATTTTGAAAAATTTTGTTTGATAAATTAAAAATATATTTGTTGGAAATTTGCATCAGTGAAGAAGGACCAAAGAAAGGTACAAAAAGTAGCAACAGAAAGCGAAAAAGAACTTAACAAAGCTAACTAACATATAGAATAGACTGTTTAGCAGTCGAGACATCCAAAAATGCTGCATATTTTTTATGTAAACATTGGTGTCATGCTCAAGTTTGAGATGAACTTGGCTATACAAAGGTTGTTAGGATTCTTTTGTTCTCTTTTTTTTAATTTATAAATTTAAAATAAGTCTTCGACTTCAAATTATTTGACAAATAAATCAAAAAGATTGTTGTTCAGTTTATTCTTCTTATGCATACCATTGCATCCTCTTTAGCCCATAATTACATAATTGTTTATAATGTTTTGTTTGTGTTTGGATTATAAGTTATGTCCACAAAGACGAAACATTTCTTAAATATGACAGTGCTTTTAAAAATATTTCAATTTTCTAAAGTTCATTTTTGTGAGCTTAGGTTATATAAGCTTATGCTTATAATTTTTCTAATATTTTTTCCTTTCAAGACATGCTTCACACTTATAGAGGGTCTATATTAGGATTCATTTTATGTAGCTTTTTATATTTTTCAAAGTTTATTTTTAAATATTTCTACCCTGTTTTCCAATAAGCCAGATGTTTCTTTTCACAAGAACTAATTTGATTACTTATTAATATTGTATCACTCATGGCTAGAATTTAAAATATGGAAATAAAATTGAGAACTGAACATTCGATTTCATTTGATGGGGATCGAGGAACTGCCGAGCATATTTTGTAATTATTGTCCTGGTTTTACAAATTTAAATTATAAATTTCATGTTTAATTTCAATAAAATGTCTAGAATTATGAAATAAATTTTTGTACAGTGTTCTCAAATTAAAAGAAGCAATATTAAAGAAGATGCAAATTGCAGTTGAAAAACAAGTTCTGCTAATTAGCGGGGGAGAATGGATTAATGATCCAGAGAGGAAAGTCTGCAGCTACAATGCTGGAAATGTGAGCATGTTTTATTTTCCTGCAGAGATGACTATTTCAATTCTACATATTTAAAATAACCTGGTTTTGTATTCTTTTCATGTTTTATTTTCAAATTTTTCTGTACATTAGAAAATTTTCCAACTAGTTTGAAGTTTTAGAAGTGTGATAGAAGAAGACCAACATTCTATGTTGCATAAAATAAAATTATAAACACTAATAGATTTGTGGTGCTGGAGTACTTACTTTATTAGCTAACTGTTCAAATATTTTCCAATTCTACGTAATTTTTTCAAGAATGATATCCTCATTAGAAACAATCAACTACTACAAACTTACAATTGATTTATTTCACCAGGATAGCAACCCATTTTTCCTGTTCAATTTAGATCTATTGAAAAAACCTTTGCCCCCATTTGAGCTGCCAAACTTTTCCACAGGTTGTTTCTTGGCCAATTCGTTTGTTTTAATTTAAAGATGACGATGAAATTTTCATAAGCTTTGTATAATAAGGCTGATATGTTAGCAATGTATTTTTGTTTGTTATATTTTCAGGACATCAAGTATATTTTTATTATAATTAAGTTGGTGTTAAATGTTTTTTATTAACTAAAATTATGTAAAAACTGATAAAGTTCTTGAAAAAAATTAATGTTATCTACTTGTGATCATCAGCTGTGGCTCGTTCATTCTTCGCGTAAATTTATGTAAATATTTCTGGAATTTTCTATTGTGTTTACGCCATGCTTTTATATTTTGTTGTTATCACAGTTATTCAATTTAGAGAAAGATGGATTATGGTGATAATAACATTGTTTATCCATTTCTTGATTGTTTTTCATCATTTATTTATTATTATCAATGTTTTATGTTTTTTTTTCTAATAAACTTTTAATTTAATTAATTAAATTAATGAGCTTAATAAATTTGTAATATTTACATATCATTAGACAAACAGTTAGAACGTAACTTACAAGAACTACTAAATAAACCTGCAACATTTGAGGTTGTCACACAGAGGAAACAAATTGTTCAGGTGCCTTTTTTGAGAATAAAAACTAATAATAGTATTATTATTGTTGTAATATTTCACTGTTGTTATCGCTATTGTTATTATTGTCATCAATTAGGCTTTTAGTGAGTTAGCTCATCAAAGAAGAGGGAAATGCCAGGAGCTGGTGCACAGCCAACATCTACAGCACCAGGGCTGGTCTGCTGTCATTGCCAACATGCTGGAAGTAATGAAGTATGTAGTGTTGCTGGGATGTAATTTCGTTCTTTTCCAATTCGTGTTTATTTATTCATTTACTCATTCATTGATTATTATTTCATTGTTCATTCATTTATTAATATCTGGAGTATTTGTTTCTTTTAGCCTTTTCCGGTGTTTTATTTATTCTTATCAAAAATTTAAAAAAAAATTAATTTAATTTATTTATTATTATGAATAACTGTTATTCACTCGAAATTTATATCAATTTTGTTTTTCAGCATTTATGAGAAAAAAACGAATATCGTTGCTAATAGACTTACTGAATTTATAAGCCAGCGAGACGAGCATGTCAATTTAATTGAAAAGTTGGTACTTTTATTTTTTCGTCATTTCTTTTGAGTATTAAATTGTATTATTGGTTTAAGATTTAAGTTTCGCATATGAAATGTTTTTGTCATCCATGCTGTTAGATCTAAACTGTCAAAATATTAGCTTATCTATTTTTTTAAATAATTGTTTATAATTTATTAATTAAAGTGCCGAAAATGCTTCACATGTGATTGATAACGTTGAAAATTTTTTTCAAGATTTCCATCGGCGGTTGAATTGTTGAAGAAGATCCCAGCATTCCCATGCCTCCCATACAATAGTACTGATTCGTCACCTTCTCAGTCTTCTTCCTCGTCATCTTTTCCACCCAGCACGTCATTCAGCTCTATCCTGGATTGGATTGCTGCTACACATTTTTCTGTCAGATTTTAATATTAATTTTTGCTGTTTGTTCTTAAGAAATTTTGTCACAAACATGTAATCATTTTAAGATTATTTGGTAGTTGTACATGCGCACACGTACACACACACACACACACACACTTTTCCTTTTACACACAATCGCACACAGGATACAAATTTCACATTGGAAGAGTCAGTTGAGATATGCAAGAAAGGGCTTCAAGAAGTTGTTCTTCTCTTTTTATTTGTTTTGTTTTAAATATTTCTTACTCTGTCAGCATTTTTTTTTATTAAGTTATTTTAGAAAGATTTAGAGAAAAATTGGATAGCAAATTAAAGAATGTATTAATCATTGCATACATTACTTAAAAAACAATTGAAACAACAGTGCAACAAGGAGTTACTGCAGAAGATGTGGGATGATCTGAATAAGATGATAGAGCTCGTGGTCATCGACAAGAAGGAAGCAAAGAAAATTAAGGGCCTGGAGGATAGGTTGTCGGGTCTGGAGAAGTTGATGGCCAACGTGCAAAAGGTTGCAAGCGAGCAGGATGAACTTGCTAAGGTTCGCCCTAATTTGCCAGCTGCTTATTTATTAACTTCGTTTTAGAATTATTTGAATTGTTGTATGACAGTTGACAAATGAACTTCAGGCACAACCATATCTAGATGTTTTGCTGGTTAAAACTATATGATATTTTTAATCTCTATCATGATACATTTCAAAAAATAATTCATGACGTTATGCTTTAGTAAACCTCTGAGGTTAAACATTAGAGATTTACCTAACAGACTGTCTTTTAAGCAATAGATGCACTTTTATATGTATAATTAAGTACAGTAAAAATATTTACAAAAATTGCTTCCATGCAAAGATATCTTTGCAAATATTCAAACTCAGTAACTCTACCACTCCATCTTACCGTTAATACTTAGAAATTTTATTTATACTATAAACCACACAAGGTCAGTGTGATGATGAGATCTCTTTATCTGTGAATTAAAACTTGAAAATTCAAAGTAGATTTTACGATGATATATATATATATATATTTATATATATATATATATATAAATTAAAACTTTAAAGTTTATTCAATATTGGCACCTCTGATGCTATGCATAGGGCGCTGCACAAATGACGTTATTATTATTATTATTTAGAAAATAGATTGTTCAATGGAGATATATATCAAAAACTTCCTCAGATGTTTACCAACTTTGAGATGCGAGTGAAGTCTCTTCAGGATTCATCCATGCTGCCTGACGTCTGTAGCAGTCACAACCAGTACCTGGATATCGTGTTGAGCAATCACCAGATTCTGGTCGATGCTGTCCAGAAGTGCACCAAAGCTAAATACGAACTCTGCGAGAATCTTCACAACAGGCTAAAGTCTGTTTGAATGTTGAGATGGATGAATAATTAAATTGATGAGTGCATGAATTAATAAATTACATTGATGTCTGTTTATTAATAGATGAATAAATTATGTTGATGAGGTATGCTTATGAAAAAATTATTGAATTATGTTGATGTGTGTGTGTTGTCTATAAAACAAATTGTTCATTAGGTAAATTTTATTAATTATTATTTTATTAATTATTCATTTGATTAACTATTAACTGAGACTGATTGGTTAATTAATTATTCAATATTGTAGCTGGTTGATGGTAACTGAACAATCAATAGCGGGCTTAGACTCGAAGGTCAAGCTGATATACATTACGTTGAATAACTTGAAAAGAAGATTTCTGCTCCTAGACCGTATCATTATCTGCCCATCCTATTTTTGTAAGACAGTCACGGAAGTCGTTAGGAGAAAGAAATTTGCTAAACATTTTCTCAATGTATGTACACGTTTGGTTCGTTTTCAATGAAGCTGAATTTACTAATGCCATGCTGTTACTAATTTTGATGTGGTCATTGGTGGTTTGGTTTTCTGGCTCCACACATTTTTGACGCTCGTTTGTTAGTTAAAACACGGGCATTTATGTACAGAAATAAAGGCATGTACAATGTACAGTACATGTAGTCATTTTAGCAGCTGTGTTATATAATCAGTTAATTTAAATATTTTCCAAAATTTATTATAAATCATAAGGAAATAATTATGAATGAAAATAATTAATTCACGTGACCAGCAAGCCAGTAAGATGTCGTCATCGTTCACTGAGATGCACGAGATGGAAATGAAGAAGAGGATGGAGTTTGATGAAAATGTTCCACTTGGTTAGTTTTGATTTTGGTATTTTAGTTTTGTTTTTTTGTAGCCTTTTTTTGGTTTTTCGATGCTGGTTTAGTGAAATTATTAAATGCGAAGAGAAGACCTTTGAATGATGAAACACTGTCCATATTTGTTAAGTTGAAATTGAAATCAATAACGTATGTTTCTTGTGATGGTGAAAGCTTATGAAACCTAAAATATCTTCAAGTCTTTTTTTTAAAAATATTAATTTTGTTTGGGGCGGTACATAGCAACTATGTTGACTGCTTTACAAAAAATAAAAAATTTCGTCAACTGCAATTTGCCTGTTCGCTATGTTTGTTTGTTTGTTTGTATGTATGTATGTATTATTGAGTAAGGTTTTATTTTTGCAAAAATGAATTAACTTTATATGAATTAAATTTTTAAATGTTTTTGTTTTTCCACAGAGAAACACTTTTTGCAGCTTTTGTTTCCAGGCATCTTCGACAAGCCACCACGTTTTGCTGTAAGTTGTTTGTTGTACTGTTGCTGTTGTTGTTTGTTGTTGTCGTTGTTGTTGTTAGCATTTCTGTGCTTGCTCCTTATGTTTTTGTGAATATGAAATGCCAAGTTTTAAAGCTAGTTGTTTTATGTTCATTTTATAGACTTTGAGACATTACTTTTTTTTACCCACGACAGTTCAATTAATAAACTATACTACTTTGTTAATTGATTTGCAGATGAAATGTCCCACAGAGTGTGACACGTCACTGCCTGATATCAAGCCAGAAGATATTGTACATCTCTCTAATTCTCTTCCAACACTCACATCCTATCTCAGGTAGCCACCACACACACACACATACACACACACAAATACACACACTACATCACCGGCAACACAACTTTGATAGTGGTTATTGGATAAAACCGTGCTCTATATTTTGCATGTGTTTGAACATTAGTGATGATGATTTGTATGTATATTTACTTCGTTATTATGCTTATTGTCATGTTTAAGTTTCTAAATGTTTACACGACAGAGTTGAGAGTTCCACGTCTGAAGTCCACGAATCAACACTGATGGTAACGGATGGAACAAGCGACGCGACCGCCGGCGACGTTGCAACAGCAGCGACAGATACTGCAGCGGCCACATCGACAAACAAAGTTATCAGTTCATGCACATCTAATGATGCAGTCACACAGACGGAAATCAACTTCACATATTTTGCTGAGGCTACTGATAAGCTCCACAGTGACAGCCCACTTTCTCAAAGCTTTGAAATGCTGCATCGAAAAACTTCAACAAATAAATTAACTCAACTGTCACCTCCAGCACCATCGACATCGATCACCACATCTCTTTCTACCACGTCTACTGTGACAACAACAACAATAACAACAACAACAGAAACGGTGTCATCCATGATACCGACAAGCAAGTCGCAGCAACAACAACAACAACAACAATCTCCAATGGGTACGTCTCAAGAATATGAAGATGCACACAACGACGGGTTCTCTACAGCAGATTTTTATTTCGACGAGTCCATGCATTCAAGTGCCACTACCGACCCAGCATCCTCTAAAAAGGATGCTCGGGTTTGTTATCATTGTTATTGCTGTTGTTTCTATTATTTTTATTATTATGATTTCTATTATCTGAAAGATTTGTTATACTGGTTTTTTTTACTTTTGTATATAGTTTGTATCGAAAGGGTTGACAAGTAAATTTGTTTATGAAGTTATTCATTTTAAAATCGAAATTTGATATTCATACCAGTTTATAGAAATTTATGTTTTCAATCCGACCAGATCCTGGAATTGCAGACACTACTGCAAGATCGAGATAAGGAATTTAACAAATTGAATCAAAAGTTGGATAGTTTGAATAAAACTCTGTCATTTAAAACTGTAAATTATACAAAAATTTATACATCAGTCATGTCCGACCTAAATCTCATCCTGAAGGATGTTAAACACGGTCAACAATCATTTTTGTCATTAGTTTTAGATGAGATGTTAATCTATGATACTTTCAATAAAAAACTTAACAGCATGGTGCTTGGTGAAAAGGAGGATTTATTGAAGATGTGTGGCACTCAACTGCAAGACGCCCTCTCCCAAATCGAACACCTCAACAAGCAGGTCAAGGTGCTGAGAGAAAATGTTGAAGATAACGAGAAGGAAATTAGAGAAAAGGACGAATTTTACCGGAAGGCGTCGAAGGATAAGGACTTGATTAAAGCAGAACTGGAGGAGAAAATTAATTTCCTAATACTGGAGAATGAAGTTGAATTGGGGAAATTGAAATATGATTACCATGCTGATTTGCAATTAAAAGAAAATGTAATAGCGGAGTTGGAAACGAAAAACAAATTCATGGAAGAAAAACTGAAGAGTTGCGTGAAACCTGATGTGATGAAGAAGATGCAAGATGAGTTCACGATGAAACTGAACGATCAGCAGATGAAAGTCAGGAGTGACCTGAAAGAAGAATATGAACAAATCTCAGAATGTAGGATAGCCGAAATTGAATGTCAACACAGAAGCAACATGAACCTATTCTGTAACCAACTGAGAAATTTATGTACAGAGTTGAATTCGTTGCGCCAGGAGATATGGTTTAATGAATACAATGACTCACTAAGATCTGGTTCGACTGAGGTGTTGTCATTTTCTACTGGGAAAGACTACAGTGCAGAGCTTTCTAGCCTTATACCAGATCTATTCGCCGAATGTTCTAATGCTTTGAAGTTCATTAGAGAAGATAATGTAATTGATCGATCGAAATTCAACAAGCTGAAAGATAAGAAAGTATGCATGGCAACATCTTCAACACCATCTGTTGGAGATTTTGCATGGGGGAGCAAAAACGATGCAGCAAGACAACCTGAACATGCATCAGTCGAATCAAACAACATAGAGATGGCAGAACATCAGATAATGCTGGAGAAAAAGATTGCTCAGCTGAAAGAAGAGCACTTAGAATTTGTGTTGAAGGTATTTCATTTGATTGTTTTTATTTCTTTTCAGACAATTAAATAAAAGCAGTTAATTAATTAATATCAAATCTCATTATAAGCTTACATTCTTCCATTCATTTGTTATTTATTTCATTATAAAGCTCGAGGAAGAGCATAAAAAAAGACACGACGAAACAGTTGAGAGGATGGAGAAAGAGAGGCGTGAGTTACGTGAACGCATCACAGTAGAGAACGAAGAAGGTAGGCAGGTCTCATTCAACTTGGCACTCAGACAGGCCACCAAAGCCAGGGATGAATACATAAAAAGGCTTGAATCATCCATAATTGATTTAAAAGGTGCTCATTTTAAAATTTTCTGAAAAGTGATTTTTAATCGTTGCTAAAGGTTTAAATTATTTTTTTCGATTTTTCTTTATTCATTAAAATTTCCATCTTTTAAAAATTAGAAAAACTTATGAAATACGGCGAAGTGCCTTCGGATGGCGGGATGCCCAATGATGCCGAAAGGTATAATATCATTCCCATTTTTTTCTGCATATTATCTGTGATATTAGTATTTTTCCTCTTTCCCCTCTTAATTTTCGCTTGGATAAAATTGATTGGACTCCTTTAAAATCTTATGAAACAACAGATGTATTAAGTTTTCCATTGATTAAATGTGTTTTGTGTTTACCAATGGATATTTAGTATCGTACTTTTTTAACTTAACGTTCGTCGAGAAAGGTTTTTCGTCGTTATATAATCACCGGCGACCTATATTCTTGCCTACTGTAAGATAAGGGCTTCACTTTGTATTTCTATAATTAATCACCTGTTACTGAATTTTTTAGTAGATCATAAAAAGTCAAATTATGGATTTACGAATCAATTCGCGAAAAGATTCGCGAATCAATGTATTTATTAATTATATTTTCCATGGTTTATAGTTTACTGACAATCGTGTTTTATATTATGATTTTGTATCGTCTATCGTTTATGTCTTTCTGTTTATACTTGTTTGTGTATTTATTTTATTTGGCATTTTTCATTTTGATAAAATGGATTTGATTCCTTTAAAATCTTATGAAACAATAGATGTATTCAGTTTTCCATTGATTAAATGTACTTTTTTAACTTGAAGTTCATCGAGAAAGGTTTTTCGTCGTTAAATAATCACCGGCGACCGATATTCTTGCCTAATATAAGATAAGTGCTTCACTTTGTAAAATACAATGTGGTAATAATTTCAGTTTTTTATCCTTTGTTTAAAGAACACTAACCACTGGCTGGTATCAAAGTCTGAAATTTTTGTTAGAGTTTTTAGACGAGCCTGAGATATATCATTCGATTCCGGATAGCGTTATGAAATTGAAAATTTTTTGTTTATAATCTAAAAATTATTTTTCTAACTTATGTTTTTTAGAATCTATATTTGTTTAGCGATGCGTAATCTTTTATGTTCATGTAATAAATTCTAACAAACTTACCTACAAGGCAACCATGTTGGTTTTTAAAAGGTTATAAACGGGTGCACTCTTTAGTATGCGCCGCCGTGTAATGTTAACTGTCTTGTAATATACTCGTAATTTACCTGATTTAATGCTGTAAATATTTTTAATATTTATTTGCTACATTATTTATATGAATGGAAAATGATAATTTTATAATTTATGTTTGAAAATTGTGTTCAATTGTATCTATCAGTTTCGATGATGCAGCGTATTTGTTGATATTTTCTTATTTGTAACCATTATTAAAATCACAATACAACCAGGATTTGAATGAAATCGTTATTATGATATACTCATTTGAACTCTTACATCTATATCCAAAATCATTTCACATCCTAATTATTCACCTTATTAAAAATAAGCTTAATCAGCTTATCGGACCAATCGTTTAATGAAACGGCGTTACTTCATATCCTTGATAATGTGTTTAATTCATGCAATAATAAAAAAACCACAATTCTTGTTGGACTGGACCTGTCAGCTGCCTTCGACACAATCAGTCATGACATATTACTTCGTCGACTGGAGGTTGAATTTGGTGTCAAGGGTTCCGTCCTTTCCTGGCTATCTTCATACTTAACTGGTCGCAGTCAATTTGTCAAAATATCCACACACTCATCTCCAATAGTTCATCTGTTTCATGGTGTCCCACAGTGGTCCGCACTTGGACCACTCTTATTTACAGCTTATATTTCACCTATCGGCAGGATCATTGAAAATGATGGCATACGTTACCACCAATATGCAGACGATACTTAACTCTATATATCATCAAACGTTAAAGAGCTTCCTTCAAATATCAACATCCTTATTACATGCATCGCATCAATGGAAGAGTGGTTCCTACATAACTATCTACAATTCAACTCCAATAAAACCGAACTCATAATACTGGGGTCTTTCTACTCAATAAATAATGTACATAACTTAACATCAGTCCAACTAGGAGACACCTTAGTCCCGATATCTGTCACACTAAAGACACTTGGATTAGTCCTAAATAAAAAATTAAGTTTTTCAAATCACATTGCGTCTATAGCAAAATTCGGTAATAATCATTTAAAAGAAATATGACATATTAGACAGTTTCTTTCTACCGCTTTGGCTAGTGATCTGGCACGGTGTTTGATACTGTCCAAATTGGACTGCTGCAATTCTGTGTTATATGGAATATTTAAAAGTCAAGAATTACGTCTCCAGAGAATAAGGTATAGAGCCGCTAGAGTAGTACTCAATTCAGATACACCGTCGTCATCGTCTTCAAACTTTCAATCTCGCATTCACCGTCGTATCTCAGTGATCTTCTACATATTAATACAAGCAATCGTCAACTTCGCTCTGCCATCGTTTTGTCAGCATAAAACAACAAACAATATTGCTAGTCGTGCATCCCAACATGCTGCTTCTCACGTTTGGAATTCGCTTCTACACAACCGAGCTCTACACAGTCATTCAAGTCCTCATTAAAAACTTTTTATTTTGATAAACGTCTGACAGGATTTTTTTCTGTTTCCAGGGCGCTTTTTAAGTCAACATTATCATCATTATATTTAATGTACAAACAAATCATTTTCAAAATTTGGTCGTATCGTATCAAAATCAAATTTTTATTCGACAAATTCAAACTTTCTTAATTCCCAATGTTATCTTGTCAATTTCCTTATTCATTAAAATCACAATACAACCAGGACTTAAATGAAATCGCAATTATGATATAATCATTTGAACCTATTTTACCAATACAGAAGATATAGTAAATGCTTATCTTTTAAAAACTGTTTTGAAATTTTCCAACCGCGAAATTTTTGCGACGTTTCCGAAATAGCGTTTTTTGCAACGCTATTTTTGATAACAGCCACGAAAATCAACCAGTGCCCAATAATGTCAAAAAAAGTTATCTTTCAGTATATTTTATTTAAAATATGAATATAGAATAGTTTTACCGAGGAAGATAATAGTAGTGGCATTTATTTTAATAAAAATCTAAAATAAAAGCAAGCTGAAAAATTTGTTCTGAAAGTCGAAACCCGGAGTTAGAAATTTTTCCAAAAATCGGAGTCGGAAAATTTTTACTCAAAGACAATTTGTATCCGACTCCGACACCCTGCCACCTTCTAGCATTAGTAGTGCTTCGTTTGCGTTAAATGGTCACGGCACTCGTAAGGAGTGCTTCGTTTGCGTTCGATGACCGAGGTACGCATTATTAAGAGAGCAAGACGTTTTCAATTGTTTTAATCTACCGCTCTGATCGGTTTTATTTTAGATTCATACACGAGACAACAGCTTTATCTTATTGCTCTTTAACACTGATTATTTAAGAAATTAAGTTGATTATACTGTTTGACTATATTTGTAAAATTTATCATGCTGATCAAAACAGCGAGCAGAACTTAGACTTACCATTGGCGGGAGCACAGAGAACAATTGAAGATCTCGAGCAGCAGATTATGAGAAGCAAGTCATCTGACGTTGTTGTTAATCAACCAACCACTACACAGGCCGCCATCACTTCGCCCTTAATTGTCAATCGGTTGACGATGGACCAATCAATCATCAGTCAGTCTGTTGATCAATCAACTTTCGAAAGAATCTTCCAACTGGAAGATGTTAGAATTATTTTTGTTTAATAGCGTTTTTTTTGTTTTTTATTTTTGATAAGTGTATTTTAAGCACCTTTGTTTGCTGTATCGCGTTTAATTTTCCCATGTTATTTAAAAAAAAGTTTCATTCAACGTTTTAAAAAAAATTTTAGAATTTGAAAAACACGAAACAGGAAAATAAAAAACTAAAAGATCAACTTGTAAGCATTTTTGCTTTATTGTTGCTATTTTTAATTGAAATTGTCATTATTGTCCATTTGTATTCGTTGATTCCATAACGCAAACAAACGCACTTTCATTGCAGTAAGTAGTTGAAAAATTGCCCATCATTTGCTTGGACTCTCAACAATATGATAAATGACTTGACTATGTTACATTTGAGACTGACTCGTCTATTTTTTTACTAAGTTGATTAGTGTATGTTCAGTTTAGAGCAATTGTGAAATGCCACACATCAACTTATATCTTTATAATTTATTCTCTAGATGAAGCTCAACATGTCACAAAGTTCTCGCAAAGACCTCCAAAACAATGTCAACGTTACTAGGTGTGTTAATTTTTCAGAAAAATTGCATTCATAAAAAGAATATAGAAATTAATAGTAATGTAAAATATGTTACGTTATACAATAAAAATTCAGCGACGAGATGGCGTAGCGGTTGAGGGGCCTGTTACTTCTGTTGCAGTAACCGGGTTTTAAGGCAGAGAGATCCCTACTTATCACAAGCAGTGTATGTGATGTTGTAGGCGATTCGTGCGTATTTACGTGCGCTCTGTCTTGTATGCTTCTTATTTGTGACCTCTGAGAAAAATATTAAAATGAGAATGCAAAAAATATTAAAATAATGTTTGCATAGTGCACTCATTGTGCGTGACGCTAGTGATGATTAATAATAAAGACATTGTGATGTCATGGTATGACAGTACTAATAAAACCAATAGTTATAATATTAACAATGAAAATAACTCTAATGCACGTGTATGCTGATGTATCTAAAACAGTTGCAACGTGGGGAGCATAACGTTGTTCGTGTTGGACCAGCAGACCGGACATTATGTTGCCTACCTGACCAGTTCCAACAACAAACACTTCCTGCATGTTGATTCTCTCGAAGGACTGGGACTATCTAGCACTGAAGGTCTGCCAGTTCTCTGTGCCGTCTTTCATTTCTTCGTTTGTTTCAATTTAAAAATTATTCAATTCATTTTCAGTGATATTATTTAGAATTATAGCTAGGTTTAATTTCGTCATCTTCAGTGAAATTTTTAGCTAACTTATACACAGACTCGATAAGTTGACAGCCTAATATTAATATTAGTATTCATACCTATACAATGCAATTTTGTTAACTGGTTATGTAACGACAAAAACATGTAGTTTAACAAGCCAGATAAATAACTCTAACACCTTTGACATCACCGCCATTTATTTATTAATGTAAGGCCTCAATGTTTCATATAAATTAGTTATGTTTGGATATATTTGTGTGGTTATTTAACAATTTCAATTCATTAAGTTTTGTATTTTATATCCATTCAAGCGTCAGCGTCGTCATCGTCCTCATTATTTAAGTCATCGTCACCAACGTCTTCCACGTCAGTATGGATCGTTGCCGAAGTTACCGAAAGAGAGCAATGTCAAGTTAAAAAAGTTCGTCATGGCAGAAATCGTCGCCAGATTTTTTAATTTTTATAAATAATTCAATATTTATTTTTAAAACTGGTTTTCCGTTATGCTTTTCGTTTATTTTTAATCAAATAATAGTTATACCAACGCGTATTTTTATACTGCAGTCAAACAACCGTTTCATGTTGCCTGTTGGCACGAGGTTCTACAGGGTCAAAGCCAAACCTTGGAACCCTGATACATGTAAGAAGACAGGCGGTCAAAAGTCTTAATATTGTTCATTAATTCGCATTTGTTCATCACTTATGTTGTTTATATTTTAAACCATTCAACTGTTAATTGTATTATAAATGAATCGACCTTTTCAATTAAATTCTGTCCAGTTAAATCATTTTTCAATCTAGTTATTATTATTTATTGATGTTTTTAAATTGACATTTAGAATAGCGAGTTAATTTATTTGACATTTCCGCAATTTCACACGTGAAACGCGACTGACCTCCTAACACAAACGCTGTACATTTCAGTGCTACCATTCTTAAACATCACACTTTCTTAGAATTACGGGGCTTGCCACCTGTGCACCCCACATGAGATGCAATACAGACTTGTAATGTAGAAAATTTTGCAGCACTTCTTACCATTGAGTAAAAACAAAACTGTAGGAGGATCTTTTTATATTCGGGGCATTTCGAATTTATTGCTTGTTGTATCAGATGAATCGTACTATAATGTTTGTTTTTGTACACTCTTATCTGTAAAAAGCGTGTATATATTGTATTGTATAAAATCGATGTGTATGAGTGCGTGCGTGTTTACTTGTGCATATTTACATGAATAATGGTTTTAAAATTTTTCAAATATTCATTATGATTCATACTTTTCTGATCAAATGTTTCCTTTTCTCGGTTACTAATCATTTATATGCTGTGTGAACTCTACTCTTAAATGGACACTTAAAAGTTTTTTCAGAAATTAACAGTCACATGCAACTATATCACGTTATTCTAACAGTTTGTTTAAATTATTCGTGAATGTTATTGATTGATGCACCGCACCTATCGAGTCAGCTGATCAAATGGTGTATGTATTATATAGTAGAGTAGATGTGAATTATGAACGTGCACAAGTAATGAATGCACCACTCAACAAATACCTTTCAAATGTTTATTTAAGTGGTTTTATTATCTCAGTCATTCAAATGTTTTCTTCTGTTCCTTTTAATAAAAAAGTTTGTTATGATGAATCACGAAAATTCACAAGACTCTGTTGTTTAAAAGGCACGTCAATTCAGTCAGCTGGTAAGCGAAAATGGACATCTTGAACTAAATCAATCAAATAAATAGATTGAAATAATTTTGATAGCACCAAATGAAGCAGCGGCAATAAATAAAGAAAAGTATATAATATAATTTAAACAGGATAAAAATAAGAAATGCCAGTTAATGGTTTGATTTTTTGATGTTCGAGCTTATTTCTTCGAGTTCATCAATATCTGACCCTTCTAAATTCGCATAGTCGTAATTTACGGTCGTCTGCATTTTCAAAATAATAATTTAAAATTAAACATCATCATTAAATGTTTCGTTTAAAAGGTTAACTGGTTCAAAAGTTAGCGAAAAAAGTTTAAATATTTTGCGTAGATTTCGAACGGAAATTTTAGAAATTAATGAAAACAACGTGCGAAAAATAGCAACCACCTTTTTTCTGCCTGGAACGGTGTCGATAACCTTGATGGGCAATCCAGGGTGGTTCTTCTTGATGTGCTGGTTGCAGTTACCTCGTATGGCAGTGAAGTGATCGCAGTAACCGCACTTGTACGGTTTGAATCCCTTTGATTGCAATTTGTAAATTCATTACTACTTTTTTTATTTAACGGTGATGTGTGGTATTTTGTCATTTTCCTGCAGTGAACAAGTCCAACTACTTTATAAGAAGATAGTCACACTGAACATTAAATAAAAAGAAAATACTGAACATTAGTAAATAAGGAAATAAAAATAATACAAAACGGTCAACCAAACCACATAACAATCGCGAGATAATACAATGTCCTTAAAGGGCATTTGATATTAAAAGTCTAAAGTGGATGTGCCACGAAACAATTACGATGTTAATTTAATTGAACACTCGATAAATTAATCGTATTAACGTAAAACTATAAAATGTTCGTTGAATTATTTGACCTTTTCTAAATGAATAAGTTTCATGTGATCTGATAATTTTGATTTGACTTTGAACTCTGCAGTACACATGGTGCATTTGAATGGTTTGTTGGCACTATGGTACTTCAGATGAGTCTTCAGTCCTCTTCGAGTTGTGTAGGCTTTATCGCATAACGAACATTTGAACTTCTGAATGCCTGGGAAAATGGTTCATTCAAAAAAATGAGTTGCAATGATTGCTCAGTAAAGTTCATTTTCGAAAAAACGCGTCTCAACAGCATAAAATTAAATGAAAACAGATTATGATGATGAATTAGACAACCTAAATGCATGGCCTCGTGTTCTTCAAACCTGTACTTGTCAATACATTTGTACTGACAACAACTGCAAACATAAATCTTCACTCCAGTGGGCTGATCGCCGTGTTGAGACAAACAATGAGCTAACATTTAAACGAAAATACAACATTCATAAATCAAAAAAAACACCAATTAAACTATCTCTAAGATGCATCAAGTTTTTGTTCATTATTTGCTTGAAGTCAAAAGATATTTTGTAATGTAACTATGAAATGTAATTAAAGTGTAATTAGAACAGCGGATTGTAAAAAACGAATAACCTTGCAAATCTTTCTTGCGAGGACTTCTGAACATACAGTGCTTACAGATGAAAAGTTTTCCTTTGTGGTGCTCCTTCAGTTGATGAGCTTGCAGTTTATAACACGTACTCAGGACCTCTCCACAATCATGACAAACAAAATTTGTCTGACGCTTTACCGGTTTTGATTGCGTTTCATTCGCATCATTGCTTGGCAACAAAACACAATTCAGTGATGAATATGTCGGGAGAGGAGAATTTTCTTTTCTTCATTCAAAAAAAGTGAAACTTATTTAAGAAATAAAGTTAGAAACAAGTGCTTTGTAATAAGACCAACATAATGTAAAAAGTTGAAACCGAACCTAATCAGAGTATCATAAGTTTCAGTTGTGACATCAGAAGAAATCGTATTTTCAACTATCTTACTGTTATCATTAAAATTATTAGCATATGAATCAAAATTATCACTCCCTATCGAATTAGACCAAGTGTTAGAATTGTAATTAATGTCGTTATAAGTATCATCACAATAAATGTCATAGAACATGTTATCATCGCTATTATTGTGTTTATTGTGTACTATAGATGTCCAGTTGAAACTTTCATTAAGATTATTCACTTCTGCCAAAATTTCAACATTACCACAATCCCTTGTATATTGACTATATATTAGTGAATTGTCAAAATCGTTATCACAATTTTTCTGAGTAAGCAAGTTAATGACGCTAGATGCATGGTTGACATCACGATCGACACATTCATCAACCTGATTATAACCATGCATGCTGCAGCTGAGTTCATTGATTGAAGTTAAATTACAAATAATTGAGTAAGGATTCGAACCATGATCTACTAAAACATTCAAACTAGATTGCAAATCTATGTTAATATCTGAATTCAAAGTATTTTCGTTGCCGATTTCTAAATTAAATTTCTTCTCAGTCATGTTGTTAGATGAGCCAACTTGTTCACCAGTTTTTACGGTACAATTATTACTGACTGTTGTACTGCTAGTATTGACAATTTTTAAGATATGAGAGCTGGCATTGGTCTCATGAGTGTCTCTTGTAATGAAACTGTTAACTGAATGTTTTTCAGTAAAGTTAGAATTCTTTTCACTTTCAACCATTGCAATTGAAGCGTCATTCAAAGACTGACAAATGTCATTGGAAAATGAATTATTAAAATATGTCATGTTTTTCAAATGTGGGCACTCAGAATTTAATGTGAGATCTGTAAATGAAAGTTCAATCAGTTTGTTGCAGTCATTGTGGTAACTGTTTTGTGAAGAATAAACATCAAGATTATCTGACTCATTATTTAATTTTAAACCATTTTCTAATTCAAATCCATTTTTATCAATGCTATTATTTGAATGAACTTCTGAGAAGTTGAATGGTGCATCTTTGATTGAGTTCATCTCTTCAATAACAAAAGGAGCATCTTCATAGAATGAGCAAGAATGTTCTGAATTATTGAAAATGTCATTTGCATAGTCACTCTCTTGCAAAACAATACTAACCATATGTGGATCAAATTTCATTCTTAATATGTTTACCAATTCTTTATTAAAATTCACTTGATGCAAACAGTAGTTGTAAGCTTCATCCACCTCAAGTATTTTTGACCCAACCAATAGATTTAATATTTCCTCATGTGAAGATGGCTTCAATCCATATATGAAATTCAAAACAACTTCTAGAACATTGGAATGAACACTTGACAACTCCAAATTTAATTTTGATTCAACAACATGAAAGCTAGAAAAGTTATTTTTTATAAAACATCTTCTAAACAATGAACTGCTGGCAACAAGAATTAACGAATGAGCTGTGAAAATCTTGCCATCAGAAGTAGTAAACTGAACATCACAGAATTCAGTTGATTGCCTCATGGTGTTCAACTCAAACCACAGTTTCTTCCAGTAGCAAGCAGTTGGTGTTTGAGATGGGAGAGTGTTAAAAGGAGGAGGTGGCAAGTTGTGCAAAACATCAGTCATTGTGGTTGTTATGCTGTTTTATTAAGGGGTATGTTGATTCAGCTACAAATGTTGTTGCTCCTGTTAAAAAATCAAACAAATTTATAGTTTTAAATTACAAACATTTAAGAAGTAAAATAGAAAATCAAAAACATAAATTACCGTCTAATAAACTAATAAAACTATCATTTTAAAATAAAATAATCAGTGATTACTTTATGAATGGCAATATATTTGAATACTTAATATTATAATTTAATTTTAAAAAAATATAATACATAAATGCCTGGAAAACTATAAATGTTGAACAGTTAAATAAAAGGAGTCATTGGTATTCTCTTTTTGCTTGGCAAGATCTCAACACGAGTCACTCAGATCACTATGGTCACAAGGAATGTCTGGAAGATCAATATTTCCAGCAGCATTCAGCATTAATCGCTTCAAAAAAATCTTGTCTTATCTTAGGTTTGACAACTGTGATATAAGTACAGTATAAGTACTTGATAAGTTTTCTCCATTCTGTAAATTTTGGAATTTATTCATTGATAATTGTAAAAAATCATATGCTGTGAGTTCTTATGTAATGTAATCATCGACGAACAACTGATAACATTTAGTTTAGATGAAGGGTGCCATCCAAACAATACATGCCAAGCCAACCAGACAAGTATGGAATGAAGTTATTTCTTTTGTGTGATTGCACTTCTGGTTACACATTCAATGGGATGTCTTATGTTGGTCGTGAAGAAAATAAAAGACATACTGGTCTTGCAGAGCATGTTGTGTTAACATTAGTAAAACCAATCTTCAACTCTGGAGTCAACATAACAACAGACAATTAATTGGTTTAAAAGTCAAGAACACAACACTACCAAAAGAAAATAAATCTCACCAGTTCAGTTCAGATCAAAAAGAATAAAGATCAATCAATAAATAAGCAATTTTAAAACACATATATAAGATACAAGCTAAACATAAGTATATTAAAATTAATACCTAACCCTTGTCCTAACACTAACTCTTCTTTTTAATTTTAGATTTCGATATCAGGTGATCAAACTGCCAAGCCAGCTTCCCACCTGGGCTTTTCCAAATAAACAAAATTAAAATCTGGCTTAATTATCTATGGTTTTGAGCCTCATTAACTTTTAAATTTTTTTATTTATTATTTAGATGGGTGTTTGAAATTTTTATTTTGATTGAAAGTTTTTTTGTTATAAAAACGAGAAGGTATGTAAAAATAATTTTATTAAATTAAATTAGTTTTTAACGTTGCGTTACAATAAAAATATTTACCACTAGTTAAACAATGTTTGAATTAAAATTTAAATGGCATCAAATGACACTAACTTAGTTATAGTTATATATATAGATAGACACTCACTCATCACTCTGTTTCTAATTTTTGGTTTTCTTTTCTTTTATAATTGTTTAATGTTGTTAGGTTAGTTTTTGCTTAATAAACTATAGACATACTGTAGTGTAATTAAGATATAAAAAACATATACAATAGAGACTTTTTTCAATTTTGACTGAGCAATGACATGGGACAAGTTGCACATGCAGGATTTCAAATTTCAATGAAATGTAATTTTAAATAAAATGATGTATTATTTTTTTTCTTTTTATATAATTTAGTTGTGAAGATTTTATAAATTTTATTTAATTTTAATATATGTTGAATCTATAATTATTTATAAATATTAATATAGCAAATATGAATATTTATTTTTATAGTAAATTAAAATTAATTAAACTAACAAAAATTAGCCTTTTTCAAATTTAAATTTTAAAAGATGCATCATTAGTAGAAAGCTAAAGACCATACTTTAGACACACACACACACACAAAAGATAAAAACACTGCATTTGATGGATGATAAATCGAAAGAGAAGGTCGTCTTGTTAAAGAATTTACTGAGTGCCGTTAATCAGGTTCATTATTATTTCTCTTTGTTTTTAAATTTTTTGATTTAGTTTTTATATTTTTATTTTATTATTTGGTATTAGTATTTATTCATTTTAATCCCCTCTCTGCAATAGTAGTGTCAGGCACCTTAACCATAACACCACTGCAGTATTTTTTTTAAATTTTGTATAATCATAAAATATACTTATTTATCAGTATATATATATATATATATATATATATATATATATATATATATATATATATATCTATATATATATATATATATATATTACCATTTTTTATCATAATCAGTTCTGATAATGTTTCATAAAAATTTGACACTTTGTTTTTTAAATGAATTTTTACATTTCTTATTAGTGTCAAATAGCATTTGGCTATAAAACTGAACTTGCCACAGAGAATGATGAAAGGTTATTGTAAAACTGTTCATACATTCATTCATTCATTTGTACATTCATGCATTTATTCATTCATTCATACATTTATTCATTCATCCATCCATTCATGCATTCATTCATTTATAAAAACGTTTATAAAATGCCAAAAAAAAACTGTAGAAATAACTCTTAAATATGTAACAATTGATTTATTAATTTGTTAATTTCTACAAATATTTGTTTATATTTTTATATATTATATTATTTGTTTATATTTATATTAAATTATGAAAAATTTATTATGACCAGGATCCAACTGCTGTGTGAATCTTTCGATAATGTCTTTAAGCATGGATTAAAACAGCCATCACCATCACATCCAGCATCATCTATTAGGTTTTTTTTCTATTAGATTTTATTATTTAATTATTTATATTGGTAATGTATATTTTAATGGGTGGGTGGATGAATGAGTGGATAATTAATAAATGAATGGATGGATGAATGAATGAATGGCGGATAAACATATACATTCATAGATTTATTTTAATACTCTAAATTAAATGATTAGGTTTAATTAATCAAGATATAAATAGAATGGGTGTACCTATTTTTGTATCTTCCTTTCTTTCACAGGCACTTGACGGATGTTGCCGGCTTATCTCGGCTGACTGCACTCCTACCATTTGTTGATGATAAACTTTATGAATCTCCGACTAACAAATGTATTTGTTTTCAATATTATTTATAATTTATTCAATAATTTCAATATTTGTCTTCACCTATTAATTTTAATTTAAAGATGGGATTTTTTAACGGTTTTTCTAGTTTTATGTTCTGTATATCTTACATTCAATGTTTCAGATTTCAATTTCAGTGTCTATGTTTTTTAAATAAATTCCAAGGGTTCCTCTAAAAAATATGGCATTTTTAGTTTATTAAAAAATCATTAAAATTTAAATTTAAATGCTTCATTTATTTATAAAATGCTAATAAAAACTATTTGAACATTAATTAACGTAAATTAAACTAACAATGCAACAGCTTATTGGGGTGTAGTAAAAACGCAGCTGAGTCGACATGAGTTGGAAAGATTTGAGGGTTTGAGACACGTGAACACGGACGTTGGAAGATGCCGTGCATGGTTGAGATCGTCGCTGAATGAACGAATGCTGGAGAACTACCTCCATGCCATTGTAAACATGGATCATCTACTTCAGTTAGTAACCCATTCATTCATTCAATCCATCCGTTTATTCATTCATCTATCTATCTATTTACTCGTTTATTCATTCATTCATTTATCCATCTAATGAATCATTCATTCATTCATTCACTCATTCACTCGTCCATTCACAACGATGTATTGCGAAATTTTAATTTTATATTTATAATTTATTAATACTTTTACGTCACATCATTCTACATCCAGGCAACATTATGAGGACTGGTCATTCATGTTAGACGTTGAGAAATCCATCACCCTGCCAAATATGGCCGCAGGTCAGTTTGGACATAGTGAACTTAATCTTTCTTTTTTCTCTCTTTTTTTCTCTCTCTATCTCTCCCTTTCTCTCTCTCTTATACGCACACACACTCATGATGACAATTCTCTAGGATTATCGACAGTCTTATTTGCATTGAACATTGATAAAGATGAATTCAATGAAGCCTGTCAATCAACTTCACTACTGGCCATAACTGCCAACATGTCCAGCAGCAATCTTTCTCAACCTATTATCAGTCAGCATTTGCTTGTTTTTGTTTTGTTTGTATGTATGTTTGGATGTTTGTTTGTTTGTTTGTCCGTTTTGTTTTGTTTAATATTTTTATAACGAATTGTCACATAATTTTCTGTTGTTTTGCTATTGTTATCATTGCTTGTTTTAGTACTATAATTTTGTAACATTCTACTACATGCCTTTTATTCACAAGTGACTTTTTATAAAAAAATTTTTTCATTTAGCAACTGTTAAAAGGAAGAAAAAAGCAGCGAAGATAATAAATTTTGATGATGACGGTGTCTCGACTGTTACAAATTCATCTGAAGATTCAGCCCTCAATCCAAAAACATTCCAACGCCCAGCTGAGATTTATCAATCAAATGTTAACCCTTCCACATCTTCGACCAATCACAGCACTTCTTTAATCCTTAAAGACATATCGTTTACCAATCATAGTTCACCGTCGACCAATCAATCAACTCCGATCAAACGATCAACCAATGAGAAACCTTCAATCAGACACTTACACACCTTCATTCCATCAGTAAATGATAGGAATTGTAGTAGTAATCTAAGTAGTAATGGTGATACTAGCAGTAAAAATACTAGCGCAGTATATAATATAAACTACGAAGAACACGAGAGCAATGACAGCTCATATAATGATAGTGTTTATCTTAAGACAGATGATATAAACAAAACCGAAAATCATGCCCATAATATTTTCAGATGTAGTAAAGATAACATTGTGAATAAATGTGACGTTGATACTGAGAACATTAAAATACATGACAATGACATTAAAAAATACGATAATTACAAGAACGGTTATGAACGCACCACCAAAGAAAATGATTGCAACACGAATTTTAACTCGGATAACATTAATAACCATGGCATAAAAAACTTTAATGACATTCACGAACAGAAATCACGGAGAGTAATTAGTAAAACAGCAGACACAGCAGAACAACACGACGCGTTACTGTCACCAACTAGTTTGAATTTTATATCGCCTATCACACTCAACAAAGACGCCGGTAATATATTTTTATTCGATGATGAGGACGACGAAGAAGATGACGAGGATGATAATGTTACTAATTCTATCAAAAGAGATGATGCTAATGCTACATCAGCAGGTATCTGTTATCTTTTTCTTTATTTAAATATTATCAGTTCATTATTAATGATAACACAAAATTACTTTGCCAATGTACTTAATATTATTAAGCATGTGCAGTTACAGTTGTGGATATAACAACATATTTCTTGTATATATATGTTCGTTTTTCCATTATTATTATTATTATTATTATTATTATTATTATTATTATTATTATTATTATAATTATTATTATTATTATCATTATTGTTATTATTATTATTACTATATATTTAATGTAATTTTGACCAGTTACTTTACGACCCTTTCTATATGAAATATTCTCCTCACTTATAAACCACAGAATGTAAAAATTTCAAGAATCCAACAAATTCATAAACAACAATAATTTTCATTAGAATAATATATTCATAATATTATTATTATCTTTTTTTATTCCACAGTTCCTGATGACGATATCTTGACTGGTGTGAAATTATTCAGTGGCGAAAATACAACAACCACCAAGCAGTCACAAAATGAATTACTGAGGTCTATATTTATAAACTGAATTTTTTTTTTAATTTAAATTTTTTTTTCACTATTTAAGCAATTAAACTTAAATAAATATGTAATTTTCTTTTTGTTTGTGTTTATTTTCAAATAGTTATTTCAACGGTTTGTACTGTTTATCATTTAATTTGTTATCTCTTTTAAAAAATACGACGTGTACTTCTGATTTTCATTAATAAGATCAATTTGCAATGATCTAGTTTTTTCAAATAGCTTTGATAGAACACGTTTTTTTTTCACAAAAAAAGATTTCTTTTTTTGCTTTTTTCTATTTACAACAGTTGCAAACAGAAGTTTAACAAGCAAGATGACAGCAGCAAACTCGACGACAACCAAAACGCTAACAACAACAACAACATTAGCTGCAGTAAATCTAACAACAATAATTACATCAACAACAACAGCTGTAATGTCACCAATAATAGCAATGGCCATGCGGTCAATAAGTTGTCATTAGTTCCGCTTAACAAAAATGGTCTTCCATGTAACTTGAATATGGTGCACGTTCTGAATGGAGATAACGCTTCGGAGTCCTATGGATCATGTATGCGTATTTAAATTCTCTCTCTCTTTCTCTCTCTCACCCTCTCTCTTTTTCTTTATCTCTCTTCCCCTCTCTCTTTCTTTTTTCTCTCTAGTTAATTTTTTGATGGTTTTTAATAGTTTGTTCTATATTTACTTCACATGCAATGTGTATGATGTGGGCTTTTCACGCGCATATTCACGTACGCTTTGTGTGTGTGTGTGTGTGAGAGAGAGAGAGAGGGAGTGTGTTTGTGTGTGTGCGTGTGTGAGAGAGAGAGAGGGAGTGTGTTTGTGTGTGTGCGGTGTAGGTGTATATGTGGTGTGTGGTGTATATATGGTGTGGTATATATATATATATATATATATATATATATATATATATATATATATATATATATATATATATATGTATATATATATATAGGAAGCAAGCAAGTGCAATAAAAAAAAATTTGTCATATTCCTTTAAATTATTAAACAGTTGATTCACATGACATTCCATACAACGAGTTGCTGAGAGAAGCATATTGCGCAATTCAAAATGAACAGCAGCCAACGTCTTCGTCGTCACTTAATCTCTCAACATCATCCTCTTCATCATCGTCACACAAATGCCAAGACGCTGGTAATGTTTACTGTCCATTTATTATTATTATTGTTGTTGTTGTTCTTTTTCTTATTATTGTTCTTCTTATGATTTATTTTGTTATTATTGCTGATGGTATTGACATTATTAATTTTTGTTATTTGTTTCTGCGAAATTGTATGCTTCAATTTTTACCTCTTTTAACACTTTCAACCTGAACAACAGATGAAAAATGCCCATCCTCCATGATGAATGTGTAAGTCGAGTTATGAAGGAAGTTTTTAATTTTTTATAACATGTTCTTATTATACACGTTGCATTACTTTTATTATCAGTTCTTTCCTCTAAAGAATTATTTTCAATTAGTTAAATTCTATTTAAGGTTTATTATTAGGTAGATATATTAATTCACTCAATCACTTATCACTCACCCACTCATCACTCACTCACTCACTCATTCACTCACTCACTCACTCTCTCACTCACTTATTCACTCAATCAATTACTCATTCATTCATTTATTTCATTATTTTATTTCATTTCCTTCAAATATTCATTATTTCATTCAAACGCTTTTGGTAGGGACTTACTGAACCTGGCTGCTTCATATAGAAGCACCATTGAGTCAATGAATGAACAGATGTGCAGTCTAAAAAATGACGACCTTAAAAATAAATACAACGAATTACTCAGGTTAGTCCAGAAACTGTGCTGTTCTTTTTTTGACGATTAACTCTCTTGAAGCGTTTTTTCAGAGGTTTCAACGACAAACGCACGATTTTTACTAATCTTTATTTTATACCATTATTCTACATCATTGATTTCTTTATTGATATCCTTTGATTTTTATCATTATATAATATGGTTGTCATTACTTTTTTTTCATTTCTGAAGAGAAAATAGTTTATTGAAAGAACAAATGAAAGGTTACTTGCAAGCTGTCAAGTTCAAAGGTGAAATTTTAAATATTTTTAATAGTTTTTATTTTATTATTCATTAAAATTTATTTTACATATTGTTATGCCTCCTGTTATTAGTGGTTTTTTTTCTACGTCTTCAGAGTGTGCATCAGACAGTGATTCATCTAAGGAAATAAAAGAATATGAAGACAAACTTTTGCAGGTACAAAAACTGACTGAACAGTTGCGCTACTTTCGATGTTTGCCAATTGTTCAAAATTCTTTCAAAAATTAAGGAATGACGACTTTAGGATGGGTTATCTACGTTTTGTTTTGTATCCGCCTGGCTCAGAAGATACAAAATAAGATAAAGATAACACCCAGATTGCCATGCCTTGAGTCTAATAACATTAGTTATTTGGTATATTGTTTCACAGTAACCATTGAATAGCCTAATTTCATTTAGTGCTGAATATTCATTTTGAACGATACATTTAATTAATTAAATTAATTGTCTTCAAGATATTTTAAATATCATCAAATCATGAGGAAAAATACAAACATAAACATTTCTCAAAAATCAAATTTATTTAATTATCACCTATTCAGTAGTTAAGTGACTCATAAAAATGATTTATTTTAATTTCCATGCTTGCATGCAGATAGCTGAGATGCATGGGGAATTGATGGAGTTTAATGAGAAACTTCACAAGAAATTACTGAATAGGGAGAAGCAGATGAGGACCATGCATATCGTCATTGAGGATCTAAAAAGAAAAGTTGTATTTATTTGTAAACTAGTTCTAATTGGTATTCTGCAAGTTTTTGGCGCTTTATTTTACAGCTGATTTGAAATTATAAAATATCTGATTTATCCATGATTTTTTGTTTAACTGCAACTGCCTGTGTGAAATTAAAATTTATATATTATTTTTTACTTCTGGTTGGTTTTGTCACTCAGTTTTTTTTATTATATATAATTAAATTATATAGTTTATGGAAGTATTAATGAAAAAATTATATGCCTTTCGTATTTTAAAATTGAAATTTGTTTGTCATATATCTATTATTTTATCAAAAACAATTTACAATGAATTTATTTACAGCTCTCTTCAAGGCAGATATCTGATGATATAAGGTGAAAAACTGTTTATTAACTTTTAATTTTTGTGTGTATATATATATATATATATATATATATATATATATATATATAGTATATATATACCCACCAAGCTCATATAATGTTGGTGATCCATAGATTTACGCGTATTTATGCGAGCTATGTGTTTGTTATTGATACCGGCTTATGAGAAAATTGTAGAAAAATTATTTTTTTTACGCAGTAATTCATTGTCATCTCAGTCGATGAATCTGATTATACCAGCTGCATTTCTTCAAGGTTCATCAAAGGGTCCCTACCATGTATATCAGGTACGTACTGCTTTGTCGGTAGTTGTTCCTACTGGCATTTGTGTTGAATCAAAACATTTTATTAAAGGTTTTTGCAAAACTGATCAAATTCAGATTTTTTTGTATTGTGTGAATCAAAACATTTTATGAAAGCTTTTTGTAAGCCTGATCAAATTCATAATTTTAAAATGTTGACTTTGTTATCAAACTTAAGATCTACATAAAAATAAGAAATGAAGAGTGGATAATATACAGAAGGTACACAGACTTCTTTGAACTTCATCACAGTTTGAAGAAATATTTCCAAATTGTCAAACAATTTAACTTTCCACCTAAAAAGACTTTTGGAAAAATGGTAAACACTTTGTGTTTGTGTTCTATATATGTACATATTTCTGTGTATGTTGTGTACGTGTTTAAATAGGTATGCAAAAAAGTTCGTGTAACATATGTAAATAAGTTTTTGTGTATATTGTATGTTGAACATTTGATTAAAATATTCTCTCAAATTCCATAAAAATATCTTGCAAAAACAGGACCCGAAGTTAGTTGAGGATAGAAGGAAAGGACTTGAGGACTATTTGAGAAAAGTGCTGTTCATGTTGCACGAGAATTGCCCACAGTTTGCCAATTCACCATGCAGGATCACTCTCCTTACCGTTCTTCCTTTCTTCAGGTTCACTTCGCTTATTAATTTCAGTAATTTTTCTTATTTCTATCTACATTAATAGGTACGTTATATATGTAGTTTTGTTTATCTTATTAAGCATAAACAAAATTCGTTTATTGGAATACTAAATCTAGTATCATTGTTTGTAAACCAAGGAAAGAGTGACTAAATACGAATAAGATCTTGCCCGTATATATTCAATAGACATAGTCTTGTCATAAATGTGCGATTAATTTTTATGTATTTAAAGTTGAGATATTATTACAATGTATACACACATCTATCTATCATCTATCTATAAAATATATACTGATATAATTATTTACCCTTTATAGCCAAGAAACGACTCATTCTTCAGTCAGCAGGTCAACAAAGAAGCACAGATTTGTATCTCCTACAATTAGAAACAATCTTACCAGCAATCCTTAGATATCTCACCCTTAGATATAGTACATGTTTTTGTGTAAATAATAATTTATATTATTTTATGCTCCCGTTATTTATTTCATTCGTTCGTTTATTTATTTAATCATTTATTTTTTATTTATTGAGTTTGGTTTCTACGGTTGACTGCTTTGTCATTGTTACTGTAATTGTGATTATTGTTGTCGTTCATTATTATCGTTAATATTCATTCATGTTTTATATTCATATTTAAATATTCACTTATATAATATATACAAATTCAGATGAGCTCAGACTTGTACATTCTTAATCAAGCAACAAACGATGTAGATATTTTTATTCACTTTTTGCTTATCCGTTCATTTACCCATTCGTTAATTTCTATTATTCTTTTCATAATTCTTTTGTTAGCTTGAATTACTCAATTTTATGTTTATGGAGATTATCATGTCTACACAGAAGTAGTCAATAGAACTATGTGAGAGATGCAGAAAGAAAAAATTATTCCAAAGCAGTGCTCGAATCATTTTTAGTTAAAGTAAAGAATAGAACCGTAGCACTTGAACTTAACGCTATCGTCATTATATAATCACGCAGGACCAATCAATAGGCCGTTAGGCTGGATGATTCCTTCCATTAAATATAGCGAATGCTGTCTGCTCTTACTTCAAAGCGAACCTTACAATTGAAGAAGAATATGGTGGGACATTATTAGTTGAAATTGCCATGAAGATCGCCCATTGTGAGTTATAGAAGAGAGCAGAGGATGGGTAGGATTTTTAGGTAAATTCACTCCTGACATTTTTTTTTCAAATTTCGATTCCGTATCAAGATAAATTTATCTAGTGATGAACAACATTTACGATTACACACTGCTTGCGGAAAATTATTCAAAGATTACGCATTAATTTGAAATTTTCATCCGACAATCATATTTAATCTTTTTGTTTGTCCTCGCTCATGGGACATGTTCGTTGAACTGACACTGAAGTTTTTGAACGACATATTTGAATATTAGTGCTTTGTTTTATACTGTAATTGTTGCATTAATGTCATTGTAGAGTTGTTGTTTATATCCTCACGTAGTGAATTTTTAACAGAACGACTTTTTGCAATTAATTGTTTCAAATTATTTTATAAAGAATTACGAACAAATACGTTGCACATCTATTAAAATATCTACTAATTAAATTATTAATCATGATTAGTGTGAGACTTCTTTAAAGTTCAATATACATACACAGTAAGTAATTGACTTGGGACAAGCTAGCAAACGTTCAGTTTTAGGCTATTTTGGAAAAAATGAAAAAGATAATAAATTAAATATTTTTATGAAATAATAAATAATTTGAAGTTTATAACGATATTCAGTAATAACTGTGAGCTAGTTGTATCAGGGTTAGGTTAAGGAACGTTTGTTGAACGAACGTTTGCTGACTTTGGACAAGTCAGTAAATGTGCGTTATAAAATGCAATAAATGACATGTTATTAAATAGCTATAGTGAGCAAAAAACATGTGACCAAAAGTTATTGATGATGCGAACAATTTAAAATATAGACCAAGGAATGCCTCCTCAAAAGTTTTACATTAAAATAAAATCCAATTATCAAAAAAGAGTCTAGGTCAAAAATATATTTTGATTTAAACACTATTAAACAATGTTTTTGATTTATAATAACAATTGAGTAATATCGCAAATCGTCATCTGACATGAAGAAAATATTTAACATGGTCTATAAGGCAGTCCAGAAAAAAATACAGGCTGCACGCGTAGGCCAATAATGTAAATATTTTATAAGTTGTCATATTTTTTCAGTGGTGAAAATAGAAGTTCCGTCATTGTAATGTAATGTAAGTCAAATGATAGGAAAATAGGTAAAACTGAGAGACAAAATAAATGTAAAAAATAAATAAATGATGACAAAATGATGAAATAGCAGGAAGATTATTCGGTGAAGACAGTTACGTATGTTTTGGGGAAGAGGCCTCTGAAGACCTGGCTGCCACGTACAATCTCACCAGACCACCAGTTAGGGTCCTTCTTGTCAATAACAAGCACAATATCTCCCCTCTTCAGTTCCAACTCCTCGGGGTCCTGGGGCTTGAAATCATAGTTGGCTACAACTTTTGCCTGCAAAAAATTTATTTTGTCATTAGTTAGAAGATATTTTTTCAAATTTTTGCGAACTTTAGTATCCATTGTTATACGCATATGTTGTCAAAAATTAATATTCTATAGTTTTTGTAAAACTTGTTTAAGAATAAAGTGTGAAAACCCAACAAACCCTGTTCATATCTTGTAAATAAATTGTTTGAGTTCGACTGATGGATGATGTTCTGTGAAATTTGATCAGCTCATTGATGGAGTCAAACCTGGTGGACCAGACATAGTAACCACCAGTATCTCTCAAGATTTTAAAATGTTGAACTTGATCTGCAAATCTATAAGATGATAACATAATCTCATTATACTGAAACACCTTGGACATAAAAAAACCATATACATTTTATCATCAAACCTAACAAAAAAAATGGTGAAATTAATATCTTACTTGACAGAAACAGAAAAATCTCCTTTGACAGCTTCACTGGGTCTAACAAGGAAGGCCCCATCTCTCTGGGTGTAGGCACCTGTCGAGTTCCTCTCAAGTAACAAGTCTTGGGCCTCATTTCTTTTTATGCCACCAACAAACCACCTGGTGAATGAGTCATTCAAATGCTATTAAAGATTGGTGCTTATAGGAGAACATTTTTAACAACTTAAATTTACAGTAGACTAAAGGAATAGGGTGTGAATTTTTAGCTTTAAAACTATCTGTAATCGCTTTTCAATTATATTCAGTCATTTTGTAAAAAAATTACTTTAAATGCTAAATAAATATCAAAAATAATAGAAGAATAACGGTTATTCATTATTATTCAGCCAACATACGATGGATAGTTTAGTTCAATGTAGTTGCTTGGGATGAAACCTTCTTGCCTATTTAATTCTGCTTTGTACCAATTTTTGTCTTCTTCTGTGTTAAGGATCTGTTTTACATTTTTATTTAATAATATATAAAATAATACCGACCAGCTTATTTAAAATTTCATAAATTCTATAGGAAAAAAACTTAACTAACAGTCTAAAGAGGGAAACCCTAAGTAAAGTCAAATTTTATGAATAAAAATGGGTAACAAAAATTTTCATTTCTAATTAATTAGCACTAGTTACACTCGTAGTTAAGTTTAGAGTTGATCTGAATGTTTATTGTAATAAAATAAAACTTATGAAAAAATTCACTTCTGAACCTTAACATGATTTCAATTTAAAGATGGAACAATTAGATTAGAATTTAATTTAATTATTTAATTTATAAATTTAATTATTATTAATTAAATTAAATTATTAATAAATACCTTGAGTTTGGTACCCCTTGTGAAACTAAGTTCATCTGGTGCCGTGGCCGTGAAATCATGCTTCGCAACCGCTTCCATGTCAATAATTATGAATAATAAATACTGCCTTTTTATAAACTTTAAATTACTAATTTGAAATTTACTCTTAAATCAAATTTTAAATAAGAAGATGAAGACGGAAGTTCAAACAATCATAAGTCGTCAGCAGCGAGGATGAAAAAGATAAAATGTGACAGTAGAAAGAAATTTTGCTATTGACGGAAATGTTTCTCCACGGAAAAACAAAATGGCGTTTCTAGTAATTCCCAATTGCTGCTTTTAAGTTGGTCTTTTAAAAGAAATTTTTATTAACCGAGCGGAACTTTTCGCTAGCACTCCCTTGAACTTAAGTTAGAAAAACCAACAAAGATTATAAATAACAGGGTAATCGCAAAAATTTTTTATAATGATTGAAGATCGAAACCACGTACGCATAACTAAAGTGTTTCTCTAAAAAAACATGCTTTCCATATAAATTTAGATTTAGCATTCTGACAACCAAGAGTTCTTCTTTCTCGTGTCTTATCTTTTCAGGACATTGGCCTTTGTAGGAGTTTAAATAGAGTGATATTCAACAATTACATGTATGAATTCAACCTTCACTTAACTGTAACATTTTCTGATAATTGCATTCAATGATTATTCTATTTATTAATAAAAACATTATCGATCAGAAAATGACTGCCAAAAGCGTGTTGCGGTTGCGTTTGATGATGAGAACACCGAACCAGAAGAGCAGTGAGCGGGAAGAATAGTATTCGTTTCTTCTCCCGAACCAGAAGAGCAGTGAGCGGGAGAAGAAAAGAATAGTATTCGTTTCTTCTCCCGCTTACTGCTCTTCTGATTCGGTGTTCTCATCATCAAACGCAACCGCAACAAATTGGTGATCGAGAAAAAACACAACCGTAACAAATTGGTGACCCCGACGTGATCGAGGAAAAACAAGCAACGAGAGTTTCCACTCCAACGCAGATCTTTCTTCGATATAACAACAACCGGCAATGCAACCTCATCCATCACGTTCGCCAACACACGCTGCGACGATCGGATGGGAAAGTATTGTCGGATTGAAAATCCTAGCGATTAAAAAGACTAATAAATAAAACACCACGAAATAAGGAGTTGATTTGTGCGGGCTTTATAAGAAACTGCGATAACTATTCTGATAGGTATTCGGGTTGCTGATGAGTCCCCGGTAGGGACGAAACACGTGTCCAGCCTATCCAAACGAATACTATTCTTTTCTTTTCCCGCTCACTGCTCTTCTGGTTCGGTGTTCTCATCATCAAACGCAACCGCAACAAATTAAAATTTGAATTATTAATATTGTTATAACTAGAGATGCACCGGATTCAGGTTTTTCAAAAAGATTTTAGTTACCATTTTACATACGTTAGAAAAAATACTCACATTTACGGTTATCTACATGTTGAACATCAAAAAATAACACCAAGCAAATAGTTATATAATTCAAATATATGAATAAGTTGTGTGATACGCCAAATTCTGTACACAAAGATCAGCTTATAATTTATGCATATTTGCATAGCCCAAGTTAAAGCACAAAGAAAATTGTCCAGCTCACCGCACAATTAGTGATGTTGTAATTATTTGTCATGTATACCTAGCCTAACCTTTAACATACCATGTTCTTAAATTATGTGCTTATGTATCTCTCTCTCTCTAAATATATATATAGATATAGATATATATATATATTATGTAGCTATATGATCCGTCATGTGCAATTATCAATATATAGTATATACACGTGCACAAGTTCTTTTACACAAAGATCAGCTTATAATTTATGCATAACCCATGTTATAGCATAAAGAAAATTGTCCAGATTACCTCACAATTAGTGATGTTGTTTTTATGTGTCATGTATGCCTTTAGCTTAGCCTTAGCCTTTAACTTATTGACATAAAATTAAAAATTTTTTTTCTATTTCTAACATTTTTAAAATAGATAGACGCTTAAATCCGGCCCTAAATCCGGCCACCAAATCCGGCCGGGGCCGGATTCGACCGGATTTGAAAAAAAAGCCGGATTTTGGCCGGAGCCGGGGCCGAACTTCGGTGCATCCCTAGTTATAACTGGCCGGCTATAACAATAATTTTGTAGAAATATGCTCTCCCCTAGCAACAATTATGTGGTCTCATAAATCACACAAAAAAAAGCTTATAGGTATAGACGTTTTTTCATTAAACCTAGTTGTTATAAATCATTTGAAGCCAAATAACACATAAATTATTTTTTGGTGAATCATGTTTTCAAGATTTACTAAATTTGTATTGTTTGATTTTAACGAATTTTTTTATTGAGTGTTCATAAGTAACTCTTTGAGTGATGGTATTGAAAGAGTGGAAAGCTTTGTTTACTTAGGGGATAAGCTGAATGCGGATGGAGGATGTTTGAGCGCAGTTACGGCTAGAGTTCGTGTGGGATGGATGAAATTTAGGGAACTGGGTGGGGTATTGTGTGGAAAGAAATGGTCAGTGAAGATGAAAGGGAGGGTATATAAAGCATGTGTGAGAGCAGCGATGATATATGGTGGTGAAACTTGGGTGTTGAGGAGAGAGGAGGAAAGTGTACTGCAGAGGGCTGAAAGAGCTATGGTGAGGATGATGTGTGGGGTTAAAGTGAAGGATAGGAGGAGTAGTACAGAGCTGATGTCAATGATGGGACTGAATGAGGACATTGTGACATTGATAAGGAGATCGAGATTGCGGTGGTATGGACATGTGTTGAGAAGGGATGAAAGGGTCGGGATTAGGCGAGCGTTGGAGTTCGAGGTTGAAGGAGTGGTAGGAAGGGGTCGTCCGCGGTTGGGATGGAGAGAGCAGGTGGAGAAGGACAGGGTGAAAGCGGGGTTGCGAGATACTGAGGCGAGTGACAGATGTGGATGGAGTCGAGGGGTATTTCGGTTTCATCATAGGTAGCCAAACGGCAACCCCCGATCTCGGGGAAAATGCCGTCTAAACGTGTGTTGTTGTTGTTGTAGTGTTCATAAGTAAAGGATTTATATCCAGTTTTTGTGAACATCATTCATTATTTTTTGATTGATAATGCGCTGTTTATTTTACTGTAAATAATGTAAAATTGATTTGAACACTTAAATTTATTATTAAAATATGTAATCTCTGTCTTTTTTCTACTGAAATTCTGTAAATATTATCTAAGATTTAATCATTTAATATTATTAAATTTTAGGTTAAGAAAAGGATATTTTATAATAAAAAATAATAAAAAACTTAAAAAAATATAAAAATGAAATTTGAGCAATTTGACATCAAATGACAACCAACAACCTAGATGAGTGGCATGACGCTAGGCTTCATATCAAGTTGCAATCAAATGACAGTCTCTTCAGCAGATCGCATCCTATTACATTACATTACACTACATTACATTATATGACAACTAGATATCACTGATTACATCACATCACATTACATTAATTGGTCAGATAATAAGCGAATGCATAAGAAAAGCTATTACCATACTACATTTTCGTTTATGGATTGTGAAATTTCAAAAAATAAAAAACGTTAATTTAGTAAAAAATATTAAAATAAATGTTTGATACAGCATATAAATGTTAACTAATCAATTTTATTTTATTACAAAATTCCAGTTTTATGAAATTAAATTGTTAAAATGAATTTAAAAAAAATCACCCAAACTATTTATAACCTTTTTGAAATCTATCAATGGCCAATTTTATAAAATTGATAAAAAATTTTATTTTATCCAATGAAAAATTTGTTCGTATTTTACTTGTTTTCTCATTATTATTAACATTTTTGCGAAAACGCTTTTCAGAGAAAAAGTAAAAGAAAAATTGCCAGAGTAGAGATGAAAAGAGATCAGCATTGAAAATTGAATGAGAAGCTGAAGGAAGGTGAACACAATAACCATAAAACAGGTCACTTGAACGTTATAAATCAGTCAAAGATGACCAGCCTTCAGCGAAACGCTGCGGTG